CTATTAGGCAGTGTGAATAAAGGATTTCATTGTTGGTGTCAAAAGTTGTAAAATTATGTTTTCTCTACACAATAATCGTAACAGTAACTTTTATATTGTACCATCCTATAGTGCATATATATGTGACTATGTGTATATAGCTGTTCATGTACCAGAAGAATGGTGATCTAATAGACACTGAATAGTAAGTAATTTATTTCACTGTTGTTTGATCATAGTGCCAAAGTGCCTTAGTGCCAAATTCTAAAATTCAGTTTCTTCTCATAGTAATCGTAGTACAGAATGTTTATATCGAGACATCCAAACTAGCTGCAGTAAACATTAACAGGGCACTTCATCTCCCATGTAAGCGATATAAATAAGTTAAAAACTGCAGCGGCGCTTCATGGGACGGCCCCCTTTTGTCGCTGCTCAGTGGCACAAGCGGTGATTCCCTGTAACACTTTTCCTCCGGCCGGCTTCTCACCACACAATGGACCCATCATTAACTTTTTGCTCCATCGGAATGCCAAAAACGCCCCCCTTTCTCCGCTCCAAACCACCAACGCTCCAGCCCACTCCATTCTCTGTCCATGCAGGCCCTAATTTGTGAAGACCAGGTGTGCAGGGACCCACACTGACGGGAGGGGGCGAGAGGGTGAGAAAACGGGTGCAATACAAAGAGATCGGACACAAACACAGAGGGCATGGGTGCACAAAGTTCTCAGGGAGGGACACTGCAATTTGCAACTGTTCATAATTTTTACTTGTATGTTCTATGAAGCCTGGACCTTTTTAATTATTAGAATTTTAATTTTTTATTACTTTTACTACTGATTCTACTATGTGTGGTAATATATTCCTACATATACAGTTTTTCTAGATGAAACTATAAGCAAATATGGTTTGTTAAAGTACATTTAAGGCTAAGAAAATGCAGTGATTTTCAGATACAACTTATAATTTGAATGCCATTTCCCAAACCACATATCCAGGCAACCCATTTGTGTTTAACATGCATAGATCAAAATGTTGTTTCAGATGGTTTTATAGTTTCATTAATGGAAAAAATTAAGTTGATTAAGTTTATACAAGACTAAAATGATTACAAATAGTACTGACTCTTGACGACAGGCAATGCTGAATGACAAAGTTACAAAAAATATGTCATCACACCATCTTAAAATTGGGATTAAACACAGAACTAAACCTGGAATTAATCAAAACTAACAAAGGACTTGACCAAAGACCAAACCAAGTCTACATCAGGACTAAATTGGGCTCAAACCAGGATCAAACCAGGACAAGTGTGAAGGCACACGATGTCATTTTTTCCATCAATCACCCCCCCCAAAAATGCAGTTTTCAAATTATCCGTTCACCTCAAACCAAGCTTCTATGTAGAGACAGTTTTTTACACGTTCAACAAAAAATACTATTAACAAAATCTGCACGAATGCTCCACCGTGTGTCATCAAACTGATCTATCTTGCATTTTTTCAATTACAGCTGTTTTTATAGATAAAAAGTCCTTTAAAAACATGTATTATGCATAAACAGGCTTCCTAGATATTCATGTTCAACAAAAATATTAAACAACTAAACAAAATGGACAATTTCAGGGCTAGATTGGGTTCTCTTTGCCATGCGTTTGATGTGTGGGAGTTTGGAGCAGAGAGCTGTGTGTTGTCACTGTGAATCTGCACTGGGACGGTTCATACCAGTGCAAATGTGTGAAAGAGTCATTATTGTGCAGAAGTGAGGGGGGCTAGTAGCAGTTCGGACCAGGTTAAACAAGTTGCTCGGCCGTTTAGTCCCTCTTTTTGTGAGCGGGTAGAGAGGGGGGGGCATGGGGAGGGAGGTCCTAGTGGTGGACCAGGACTAATTGGCACTAATTGAATTGGAAGTGCTGATCAGATAGGAGGCTGTGGAAGTAATCGGAGTTGTCACAGCAGATAAGGTTGGGCTGTCCTGGAGTGTCTGCCTCATGTGACAGCCTGTAACATAGCTTGCGAGAGGGCATCGGACCCCTTTGTCCCAGCACAAAAGGGGGCAGAGGAGAACCGAGGGGGGAGAAGTGAGGGGCAGGGGTACAGTGAGAGCAACAGGCTACAGCTGCACATGGAAAACATGAAAGAGAAGCAGGGACATCAAAACAGGGGGAAATCAGACGTACGTTAACGTGCTAGGGAGGGGCAGACAGCGCAGAGTTGGGAGCTTTCTTTTAAGAACCAAAAAACTGATTTTGGAGTTTATGGCTGTAAACTAAGATAAAAGCAGTGCACTCATTTTATTTAAGCATGCTCAGTGTTAGTGGTTCAGTATTGTCCAGGCTGCACCTGCCAAAGGCCCAAAGCTGCTGCACAAGGTCTTATTGAACTTGGTCTTGAAATATTTGATGAAGGTGGCTAAAATCTTTGCATATTTACATTTTTAATGTTCATTAATATGTACTGTCCCTTTACAAATAAAAAAAATAAGAAATAAGAAATAAGGTGAATAAATGCAACAGAAAGATAAAAATTGTTTGAAGCCATTGTAATTTTTTTAAAAAGGCACACAAAAAAAATAAAAATTTTAATATAAAGAATATTTAAATTTAAATATATTTTGTAAGTTTGCAAAGTAATTTGTTTGGATATAGATAACAAAATGATTTTAGCAACATTTTATGAAAATTGGTAATAACTTTTCAATTATAAAATCTGTAGCTGCATAATAACGTTATTTTTTATTTTATTTTATTTATTATTTCAAATGTTTGACTTAATGATAAAATATTCCACTTTAATTATTATTGATTATTAGTCTGAATAAACATGATTCGTGTTTAGATTTCTTTTAATTTGATAAAAAATTTAAATTTGGAATTTTCTAAACAAATTTAAATAATTATTAATTAATAACTCATAGATTAATAGTTAGGGGTATTTTAAGTTATAGGCCCATATATAATATACATGTTGTACTTTGCATATGTTACTGTACAAGCAATTATTACCATAATGTCCCCAAAACCCCTTACTTAACATGTCTTTTCAACTTTTGTACAAGGCTTTTATATTTTTCTTACATTTTTTAAGTAACATCTCATTCCCCAATTTATTAAAAAAGTGAGTCTTTTCTTCCCGCCCACACCTGCCTCAGCCTCTGGTCACGATCCAGTGCTTTTGGACACAGTTCAAAAACAGGTGACCGACAAAGAGTGGTCTTTCCCAAGCCTCCATCCAATTAAAGCAGATTCCTCCAGCAGCAGAGCTCACAGGCCTGGGGCAGCTGTGCACCCCTCCAGGCTCACAAGAGGAGGAAGGAGGGGTGGGGTCCTGATGTTTTTTACAAGTCCAAGATTTTTATTTGATTTGAATTATTTTAATACATTTTTTATCTGATCTATGGGAAGTCTATAGCCACTTATAGCCTTGCATTTGGTGAACATTTGGTTTGCTGGAGTCACTGCCTTAAAGTATTATTTTTTCTCATCTTGTTTGTTATTATTTTAATTGTTGCTTTTACTTTAATATCTTTAACATTTGTTATTTGAGTACATTTTTATTTATTGCATGGCCCGATATTTTTTTATTCTTACTTTTAAACAATAGCTTTTGCTTTTTTTGGCCTGTTAAATGTGTTAAATATCTAGTTTGATGCAATTTGGAACAATGCATCATTGTAATTCATAAATTCTTTTTCGTAATGATCCATTCTGAATAGATTTTGCCATTTAAATCAAGCGCCCTTCTTCTGTATTTTTTTGTTACACTGAGTTTGAGCAATGAAAGCAGTTTTATAATACTTATGTGTCCTTTTGTGTATTTTAAGTTAGGCAGTCATTCCTAACATGAGCACTTTCTGAGTAGTATTTTGCCATGTAACTGTACTTTTAATCAAGTACAAATCTAAAGCACTTTGCCTGTACTTATACTTGTACTCTTGTGTGTATTTGGGGTGTGTGTATTTTGAGGGAGTGGGTTTTTGGGCATCTCGGGGCACGCAGATGTGTGAGTTGGCCCGCTGCGAGGGGTCAAGACCTTTACAGATTCAGCGCCTCTGCATGTCGGGACTAATGGGAAGCACCCCACCAGCTGCACAGGGACGGGATAAAACAAGGAGGAGGGACATGGGGAGATTTAAGGAGAAACATGGGGAGGAGTGGAAATGGACAAAACTATGTAGGTCTTTTGATATGTGGACATTCTTGGTATGTAAAGTGGTATTTTTGTCACTGTATAGACAATAATACTGTCAAGAATTCTGTGTACTCTGTGGTATTATTATTATCATGCTGTTGTCATGGTATACTTGAAAAATGTAGTGGAATTTATAAAGTAAAATTAAAGTCACAAATAAATATGTTAATGGTGTGGGCCACATCAACAATAATAATACTCTTTATGATAAAAATATTTATTTTGTGCATGCATTAAAAAAAAAAAAAAACTTCTTCATGAATTATTGAATGAGCAAAAATGCAGGTATGCAAAGTGAAATGAAAAAAGTGTTCAATCAGTGGTGAATTAGAAATGCACTTTAAATTGACGGCCTTAGGACAGTGTCTTATTTATCATATTGGCTCAAACATTTTTATTTTAAAAATTACCCACAGTAATTAAGTGTTTATAATATAAACAACAATATTTTTATATTATAATTTATTATAAGCTGAAAAATATTTAAGTTTTTTTTTTTTTTTGTTAATGGTGTTTAAAATATTCTGTATAACTTTTTATTATTTCATAGACAGACATTGAGGCTCTTTATATGTAAATTTGTTACACAAACAAACAAAACAGACAGATGACACAATTTTAATGTAATAATTATTTGCATGGCTATTTTTAAGCACCTATCATTGAAAACTTACACCTACATTTTGCATGTGCTTCTATTCTAATTGGTAAAAATAAATAAATAAAAAATAACTGTTATAAATAAATTGATAGAATTAAGTCAGTATCCTGTGCAGTGTTTATAGTCTATAGCTGCTGGTTCCCATCCACTGACAGAGGCCTTTGTGAACTTACTGATTATCAGACGCATCCCTTCCTCGCAGGGTAACGTCAATGCCACTGCGGTCTGGGCATCCTCCGTCTGTACCATCGTGTGCCATGTTTGGGTTGGCGCTTCCTCTCTGACATCATCACTGCGAGACGATGGAGAAGCTCTTCACAATGGGGTGCGAGTCCAGGGAGGATGATGCAGCGTCTGGTCCAGTCTTAAGCCTTTGCATTATAAACAAAGAAACAAAGGAATTACACTGTTCTCCCATTGAATTCAATAATATAGTGAATTTTGTTTTAATATACCTTATTTTGGTAGATTACAAATGAATTATCAATACAATTAGTTGCATTATTTGTGCAGACAGAGCAGCCTGTTGGAAACTTAAAGGTAAAGCAACAGGTGGCAGCGTGCAGAGTTAGAGCGACACCTACAGGTTTAAAAATGTAAAATCTCCCCAAAAATGTAAATATTTGAGACATTACTGCCATAGAGCCTGCTCCTTTTCAATGTTCAGAGCAAGTTTATCATATTCTTGTAAAAGAAATCAATACTCTAGGGTGTTTTGAAATGATATATTTGAACTATTTAGTGAAGTCCAAATATTTCAATAGGAACTCTTATTTGTGATGGCTTTCTTTTTAGAACTTTATTGTGGATAGGCCTAATGATAAACCTTGTGTAAATTTTTCATAAAAAGTAGTAGGCTAAACAAATATCTATAATAATTTCTCAGTATATTTTTCATAATTTACTATTGTATATGTGTAATGGAGCTCAGCAGTGACAGCCCATCCCACGATTTCAGGAGTAAGTTCATTTTTCCCATAGACTTTTCGAAAAAAAAGCTTGAAAGTTTGCTTGGGGTTAATCAGATATATGGTTACTAATGACCACAAGACCTATACATTTATTTGAAATCGGTTTCTGGCTCTTTATAAACTGCTAAGTATTTCACCAAATCTAGCATTTTAACCCTAGACTATAGATTTGGACTTAAAACAAGCGTTATGTGTATTAGTTACCAAATAGTTGATAGTCTCCTCAGTGTCTTTAAACTTTTAGTATTAGATTTGTTCGAAAAGTTTATGGGAAAAATAAATGGAAATTTTACTTCTGAAACCAGAGCAAGTGGTCACTGTTGAGCTCTAGTATCAACACTTCTCAGCACTTTATACTATATAAAGTATAAATGTGCTCTAAACCAGGACTAAACCAGAGCCAAACCAGGACCAAACCATTGATCTTAGTGTGTTGACATTAGTGCAGGTTCAGCATGTGGATGGGGGCAGGTCTATAGGTGTAAGTGAATTAACATGAGGCAAAGAGGAGCAGTCAGAGGCACCTCGACGGGGGACTGTGTGCTCCGCTCTGAAGAAGGAGAGAGAGAAGAGAGTCCATTAAACAGAGTCAACGACTGCAGTGATTAGCCCCATCACACACACAGTCAGAGCCTACACTAAAGATCAACGCAAGAAAGATATGCAGGTTAAACACAGAATTAGGGCTGTATTTAGTTATTATTATTATTTTTAATTTTTAAATTTGAATCTAATTGCAAATACTACAGTTGTGTTTAGTTTTGAGATTTGTTTAAAATTAGAATTTAGTTTGGAGTGCAAGTGTTCACATTTGAAACGATAGAGACATGAACTGCTAGACTAATACAAGATGAATTTCAGAAGGTGTTGGAATGCAAGTACAATTTTTATAAAAAAAAAAAAAATGATATTATCTTTTGCAGGGGACAAGGCTGAATAACTGCAGCCTTGGTGATTTGATAACTGTGATTTCAATAGTGATATATATTGTTAAACCCAAGACAAAATAATCTCATATGTTAAAGATTTGGATCTGTATTTTGGACTATTTAAAACATTTATTCTCAAAATTTTTATTCCTTAATATTGCATTTTTTTTATTATGCCACTGTAATCGCCAGGACAACCACATTTTCAAGCTTCACAGTGCACTGACATTCATGTAGTAATAGCATGATAATTCGTAAAAATGTAAGTTTTCAAACAGGTAGTGCCAACAAGTTGTCTATACAAAATGTTTTTAATGTTGAAGTGAGTAAAACCTGTGAACATGTCTGTGTTAAAGGTTAAGGTTGTCTACTGGTCTAAGTGGAAAAAGCTTTTCTGAGAACTCCAGATCACATCTTAGGTAACAACCAACAGTAATCCAATACGATAAACTGTATTTAAGCTACACACTGTTAATGAGGAAAACATTTGCAAGAATTATGCTTTCTCAAACTTGTTTTTCAAATATAGTTGATGTAGAGCAACTTGGAATAACATGATTTTATAATGCTCAATGCCAAAGTGCTGATCCAAGTCTGTACATGTGAATATATAAATATCCCCCAATTAATTTTTTGAAGAAGTTACTGTCATATCTTAGAAGACATCAACTATGGGCTTAGCAATGATTTCACTCAATATTTCTTAGTGCTATAGCCTAATAATTATGTCGTGCATACTAAAATCCATTTCATCCATTTGCTTTCAGTTGTGTATATTCAATATTCATTTGTATATTTATGACATTTTGAACAAAACCTTACATACCTGCGCTTTTACTCTGCATGTAGTGTTTTCCATTGGCCATTGGTCCTTTCTTCAGCCTATGTTAAAAAATAACAAATATTGTGAAAAAAATATTTTAAACAAATTATTAATCAAATCAAGCAGTTGTACGTACGGTATGGTTTCACATTCGGGCTGAATGATTTGGAAAAAATATCGAATTGTAATTTCTCTGTCAAGGATTGAGATTTATGTTTTAATAATAAGAGTCTGTTCAAAGTTCACACTTTACAGAATATTTTGTTGTTTGTGGAAGAAATTATAGGACTTCAACCATTGCGACCTTTTTGATTTTCTAACTGTGTCCATTAAATTGCGATTTCGATTTGGTATGCAGCTTTAATTCACATCACATAACTTGTAAATATTTATTAGAAAGAGTGCATGCCTTTCATTCACCCGTAAACCATTTGAACGCTTATATCATGCACCGTTCCCAAGATGTTTCGCTGTCAGTGCCAAAAGCTGAGTATGAACCCCCATTAAAAAGCTCTTAGTCTGTATTTAAAGGACAGTTTTAGGCAGTCGCTGTTTGTTTGCACTGAACTAATGGCTTGGTTGCGGTGTTGTTGCGTGTGTGAGGAGCTCCCAGAGCCTAGAGCCACTGCAGCCTCAGCCCTGTTGTGTTTGTGCTGCAGTGAATACAGTGGAGTCACCATGAGGCCAGTCATGTCTGCGAGGCCTCCCTGTCAAAATGCATCCCATCTCGGTTTATCCCCCCTCCCTCTCTCTACACCCTCCTCCACCTCTACTCCTACCACTATCTGTCCAGAGTTACCATGTATTCTAACGTCTTAAGAGTTTTTAAACATCCTCCTTGTTAAACCTGTTATGACTAGGGGTGTGAGATGAATGAGAGATGAGACTGGAAAAAAATCATGTCAATATTGATATTCATATGATATTTTGCATCAGGAACCTGGGCCTTGTACAGCTCCCAAGCCACATACAGCCCTTTGGTTGACTCTGACTGGCCCCTTTAAGCTGATTTGAAGTAACAAAATAAACATCTTCATTAATTTACCTCATGCATGGGCTAAAGCTGCATTGTTTTTATTTGTTTTATTTATTTATTTATTTTTAAATGACATTTTTTGTAAGGCAACCTCACTTTTTCATTGCTTAGTCATAACATAAACTCTTACTAGTCTTAGCAGCTCGTCAAAACAATGATATTTACTGCTTTTTTTTATAAAGAAATACAATTAATATTATGTAGAATTGAGTTAAGCATTTTGCCCCAGCCCTACACAATATTTTCTATTTCTCATGTGGCCCCATGGAAAATATAATTGCCCACCCCTGTGCTAAAGTGTCCCTATTAATGACAAAACTTGAACTGACCATAAAATACAGAAAACACAAATGCAGAAATATTACTTTATAACCTTGTTTGAGGAAATTAATTGAAATGTAATTGCAATATACTTTATATTGTGATTCTACATACCTGTTTACTGACTAGATTATTTGTTTTTCAATATATCTCTTATTGTTTGTTACAGAATTATAGCTATATATTTAAAATTATTCCTCTCTACAAATCTATTATAGATATTGCATTGGCTGAAAAAAGCTGTTGGTTTAATTAAACAATGTGTCATAAGACTCACTATAGCCAAAATACGTGCTAAACGGTGGTTTTGTTACAGGCTTACCCTCCACTCCATAAAGTTCCCATGCACGTTTTCTAAGTATATCACCATTAGAGCTAAAAATCCTCCTTTTCTTGTAATCCTTAAGTCTATGGTTCAGCCCCTGCTCAGTTCTTGAACCAGGGGCCCGATCTTATGCAAAGGGCGCGACCCACGGGACCTCTTGTTGACCTCACATTGACCCTAACAGGTTAGAGTCTCTGTCGGCCGCAGCTGTGGGGCAGTTAAGACCCGATAATCCAATCACAGCCATTAGAGCTGTGCAGGAGGCAGAGTGTGCATTTAAGTGTAACACACAGGTGCAATCTAAGAAGAAATGCTCTTTTTAACAATAAACATGAGGATATCTATACTTTTCTTTATTATTAATCTAGCAGCTGCATAGGTACAGAGTGTACAGAGGTAAATGTAACTTGCTAAAACTAACTTGTGTTGATGTTATTGCTTTACCTTGAATATTCTACAGTACATTTTTTCCTCAAAATTCAACTTAAATTTGATTTCTGAAGCACTAATAGAATAGTCACAGCTAACCAAATAGCTGAAAAAGTCCTGCTTATCTTCCAGAGACGTAACATGATAAAAACATAAAATTCTACCAAATAACGATTATTCATTCAGTATAATCTAACGTTTACTTTGTGTCCTTGCATATTAAGTTTCTTGGTTAACCTATTTTTGATGGACACGCAAATGTTATTTCTTTCTCCATAGAGACACACAGGAGACTAGGCAAAGTTACAGGAGGCCAGATCTGTGGAGAGGCGACACTGCTAACTATAAAAATGCATGCTTTTGTTGTCGGAGTTTTGAGCAATAAAAAACGTGTAAGTAAATAACATCTCCATGAAGACCAGCTTGTAGCAAGTTCCGTCACGCACTTTTAAACAAAATATCTTATAACTTACGTACTTTCTTGCTTTTCAGTCAGTGAGTAGTGTTTTCTGGTAACCACTGGTCTTGGTTCTGGGTAAAGAAAGAAGCACATTAGAAGATGCACCATTGACTTTTTGTTTTCATGGTGCTCAGGAAAAGATCAGCTGAGTGTGATCCAATGCTTCAGTCCACTTACACTATTTACTCAGATGCACCGTCTCGAGCAGAAGAAATGTAAAAAATAATGATTATGAAGAAAGTAAAATGAATAATAATATGTTGTTATTTAGTGTACTCCTTCATAGGCTGCAGGTGGAAAACAGTTGCCTAGGTGGGATAGTTCAGACACAAAGGCATGCTTGTTCCCAATCAGAATGTAAATAAGGTAAGAGACATAAACGAGGCTATAATTTTCCATCCTATTATTAGCCTAATCACTCTGTTCATAAAGGCATTTTAATTCAGTACTTAAATTAGCGTTACATGTCTGCTGTATCTTCTGTCACGTTGATAAAATGCACAAGACGAAAACTGATATCAGAGCTTTCGATTATATGTTTATTTTATTTGCCTACAAGTCAAACTAACCTGAAAAAGTTCCAGTTACTTGTTAGTTACTCAGCTCTTTTTATTTGCATTGGCACACAGCGTCGAAACATCATCGTAAACGCTGATCTCGATGGATTTTCTTCTACATTTTCCACTGTATTTTTCTCAGGTAACTAAAAACAGTAGTGAGAAAGATTAGTTCATGTTATAGTTTTAACCGTGTGATAATTTTCAGCTGTATCTGAGTATTTTGTCATATTTACCCAAGTCGAGCATGAAGTGAAAGGAGGGCTAGCATAGCATTGTCACGTGCGCGGTGCATGTTTTGTAACTACGGAATTTTCTGGAATATTTGTGATATTTTACTGCTTCACGTGCACGCTGACTTCATAATACAGTTCCCCATTATATATGAAGGGAAAAAATAGCGGATTTGGTATTGCGGTTAAAAACCTGCGTGATCCGTTATATTTTTACGTCAGGATGGCCGAGCGGTCTAAGGCGCTGCGTTCAGGTCGCAGTCTCCCCTGGAGGCGTGGGTTCGAATCCCACTTCTGACAACAGCTTTTCGTTTTTTTAAATCTTTCAAATAAGATTATTAATTTACTCAGTCTAATTCAAGGGTGTCACACTCAAATTCACAGAGGGCAATAATGAAAAACTGAGACTAAGTCATGGGCCAAACTATATATTTACAAAAAAATCTCAACAACATCAGCATGTTTCCTCTTCTTTCGAGATACGTAATGTTAAACCTTTTCTTATTAAAATAAATGTTTAATAATAGTTTTGCTTAAACACTGAATCCAGAACAAGCAGAATATAAAATAATAATAAACTTTTAAATAAATTATGTCTCTATACCCTAACTGTACCCGGTGGGCCAGCTCTAATACATGTTTGATATGATCTTGTGGGCCAAATTTAATTATGTTGTGGGCCAAATTTGGCCCCCGGACCTGAGTTTGACATGTCTGGTCTAGTTTAAGGGTGTCAAACTCAAATTCACAGAGGGTAAGAATTAAAAACTGGGACTAAGTTGTTGGCCAAACTAAATATTTATTGACTGCATGTTTTCTCTTCTTTCAAGATATGTAATGTTAAACCTTTTCTTATTAAAATAAATGTTTAATAATAGTTTTGCTTAAACTTTGAATCCAGAACAAGCATAATATAAAATAATAACAAAATTTTAAATAAATAATGTCTCTATAGCCAATTTGTAGCTGGCGGGCCAGCTCTAATCCCAATCAAAAAGTGCATTTTGAAAACATGTTGTAACTGCTGAAGAATACCACCCAAAATTTAATAACTAAATTGACCACCATGGAGTGTCCAACAACTTCCCATTTTTATTCTGAAATGGGGCACTAGTGTTTTTATAAATAGATGTGTATAGCTTTGTGGTAAAAAGAAAGAAGAAGAAGAAAAAAAAATGTTTATCAGACAGTATAGAAGACTTTCACTTCTCTTAACTAACTGTTTTCAAAAAGCAGCTTCATTTAAAGTAAATTCATGTCTAAAGTAGGTTCTTTAGATTAGGTCCTTGTAGTGAATGAATGCAAAAATCAAGTTTTATTTGGAAGACATATTTTTCATCTGACTGCCCTTGGCAACAGAAGTGTGTAGGAAAATACTTTAAATTGACTCTCATGTATTCACATTGACAGGCATTTATTAAATAGTGTTCAAACATGTATAGCCACGTACATAAATAAAGTGCATACACTATATACTATATTATTAGCTCTTTTAGCTTAGTGAGCCTAAAGCATTTAAAGATACACCCGTAATGCCATTACTGTCTATGAATGGAGGCTGATAGACCATTGAAAACCGCTGGATTAGCTTTCAAAATCATTATTCCCTTTTTCTCCACAATAATTATCCAAGTCAATTAAGCTTAAATGAAAATGCATTTTAAGTACTATGCTTGTAATGATAAACCAGACAAAGATTGAACATGACATGAAATATAGTTCTTGTTTATTGTTAGTGGATTTCAATAATAATCTTTCACTCCAAAAGCTATTATAATTTGCTTTTAAAGTGACCATAAAATTTAATTATTGCCCATTTTGGTGTATGAGAGGTGAAAGACAAAAGAAACCATAATAATAACCCTTCATGCTTTGTTAATCACTGGCTGTTTAGATGGAAGACCCAAAGCTTGAATAATGAGCTATTTGACAATGTCGCCTGCCACTAGACAACGGGTGATGTTAAGTGACAATTTCACCTTTATTAACATGTTGCAGAATCGTTTGGAAAGGTCATGGCGACAGACCGGAGGAGGCGGGGTTTCTCAGGTGGTGGTGACTGGGAAAGAGCAGCGGCGACAAACCAGTGAGAAAATACTCATTAGCTATTAAGGGGTGAGCCATTTTGACAGAAAAATCTAGGATATTGTGATATTTTTGTGTATTCTTCAAGTTGCACAATGTCACTAGACTGGGTATAAACCTTCAAATTCTGAAATTTTCCGATTTAGTCGACCTTTACACTTTGAAAATCATATTCAAAGTAAACAACAATCTCTTGTCAAAATCATTACAGAATATGTTCAAAATCCAAAATAGCCAATATGAGCTCAGAGGTACGGCCATGTTTATCAAAAAGAAAATCAGAACAAACATTATGAAATGTTGTTTATCTGTTAAAGGGGTGGACCTCTGGAACAAATGTACAGAAGACCTAAAATTGTGCACCACTCTTAAGTAGTTTAAATATTTAACTCTGGGCAGATACATGAATTATGATACTCAGTTTCTGCTGTAGTATTTTGTTGTACTGTTACTGATTTGTTTGTTTCCTCTTGCTGTACTTATGAATATGAACTGGTGTCAAGATGATGCTCTGATAAAGGAATAAAGAGTAGGCATAATAGGATCAATCTTATATGACTGTCTGTGAAATAATGTCAGAATATACCTGTGACTGAAATAAATAAATTAGTGGTGGAGGGTGCACTACCAGATTTTCTCCATGGAGGTGTTTTTGTTTTACCTGGATTATTCCACATTATGGCATTAAACATATTTGCAGATGATGCCACCAGGCCATCAAAGTTCAAATTTAGCTTTATTGTCAATTTCTTCACACAAAGGAATCAAGATTACGTTTCTCTCTATCCCAAAAAGTAACAATTAAGATAAAAAACAGTAGTGTACAGTACAGTGCAGTTCAAATCAGGTCAGTTTTAGGTTGGCTCTGTGGGGAGATGTCTGCGCTCACAGTAAGAATCCATGTTTTGAGCTATAAACTGAATCTAGCAAACACATTGGCTTTGAAATGTTAGCCTAATCTTACTTAGTGTTCTTGAGGAGCTCTCTGAAGGTAGCTTAATGAATAAATCAGCAGTAAGAGAAGGGATAAATTTGAGTTTGTGAATTATTTAGTGATGGCATCAACATGAGCAGCAGCATCTTTAGCCTTTGCCATCTCCTGAGTGATTACCCATGATGCCGCTCCCCTGGCAGTTAGGGGTCATGAACTTTTGAGCACAGATGTTAAAAGTGCACTGAGAGGAGAGCTGGCCTTAGCTTAGCGATGAGTGACATTGATCTTGCTGTGCTCAGACAGTGGCTCACCCAGGAGACCACATTCACCAGGAGAAGACGCGGTTCAGTTTTTTACTCTGAAAAAACAAGAAAATAGGATTTATTTGAAACACTGAAAAACAATTGTATCTTAAAGGTGCAGTACTTTTCTAGCGAGGCCTGAAATCATTAAACTTGTTTATCTTGCATTTATTTAATTAGAAGTATTTTGTTGTTTCACGGCAATGTGAAAACATATATTCTTACTGTGAGTGGGCTCGCGTCTCCACAGATCTAGCCTGATGATGTCACTTGCTGGAGGTAAGTTTTATTGTCAGAGAAAACAATAACATCTCCATGGAGAAAAGAAATGGTGAATAGGGCTGGGTATCATTAAGAAGCTGGCGATACGATATACACCTCAATACATATGCCATGATACGATACATATCTCGATACAGTGCACTTTCGGTTCGATATGATATATACGGTTCAATAAAAAATGTCTATATCATGGCTGTGATACTAAAAGTCTTTGTTAAACCAGTTGTTGTGCAAAGTTCATATGACACACACATTTTAATCAAAACAGTAAAAGTGTCAAATGTGTTGCATAAACGAGTTTCCTTCCTCTAAACACGCAACAAAACTGTAGTGCTGTAACAAAATAATTTAGTAAATTATACCAAAAATGCTCTTAGCGATATATCGATACAGGAGCACCCAGTATCGATACTTTATCATCACATTAAACTATACAGTATATATCGATATTTCAATATTTTTGCACAACCCTAATGGAGGAATTGCACTGTTTGTCCCACACCAAGTACAAGAAAGCAGAAATTTAATGATCATTATTTGTTCAACTTAAAGTTTTGAAAATGCATGATATTATTGACTTATGTATCCTCAAAGTAATAATAAAGAAAGTAATGTATTCAAAGACTGAGATGAGAACAAGCCACTACAATTTAAAAGGAACCTACATTAAAAAAAAACAAAAAAAAACAGATTCAGAACCAAGGTTATGGAGAATCAACTACAATAATGGCATTTAAAAAACACATAAAATCCAGTGCAATGTGTATATATGAAAAAGGAAAAAAGTTGTGCATATTAATGAAGATTTCTGTTTGCAATTGATTAATAATTGTGACTAAACTGAAATGTACTGATCTGAAATGTTTTAAAGTAACTATCGGTGTTGATGTATTGTCTGGAAAAGGGAAGAGGAGGCAGGGAACATAAGATAACTCTTCTTTCTGCTCCTTTTCATTCATTTCTTGTATGTTTTGATGTTGTGACACTGTTGATGTATTTTTATACGTTATGAATGAAATAAATAAACAAATAAAAAGGATAAACAGGTCACAAAATAGATAAAAAATGTGCATATTACTGCTACTACTACTCCAACTACCATGCTGCTCTTAAACATAGGGCCCATTGGTTGTAAACTGGATACTGCTACTAAAATCAAAACCGTGGGTACATTTTCTTGCTTTTTATTCCAAAACTTTGAATGCCATGAATCTGACTGTCTTACCATGGTGCCTGTTTAAACTACTTACTGTCAAGTGTGCATAAAGCCACTTTGTCTGCAAAACTAAGGAAAAGTTCCCCTTTTAAAAGTTGTGACCGGGGGAGGGTTTTTGAGCACAGATTCAGACTTCCTTCCTTCAGAATGAGCGAAGAACTCCAGAAGATTTCAGCCCAGGTTTTTGTTTAAAGCTGGTATTTGCAGTTTTTTCAGTGGGATCAGACAATAACACACCAGGATGTGGATACAGGATGAAGAAGACTATTCAGCGTCAGGTAGGATAATGCAAGACGAAACGAAAATGCAGAGATTGCTCAATAGAATTTGTGTTTTTATTGTATTAAGCTGTATGGCAATGTACAAGCCATGTTTTCAATTTGCTATAACCAAAAATATTTTATAGACTAACAGTTGCTGCTAATAGTTAATAGCATTTACTCGACAAAATAATACTAATTAATTAATGGAATGAGTAAGGTATTATGACTTTATCTCAGTTTTAGTTTGGTAAATGTTTTTATTTTTTGTATTTTATTACATCCTTTCTTTTTCTCTTTCTGCTCATGTTATTGTCTTCCTGATCAGAACCAACACAGTTCCAGTACCTATTTGACATTCACTGCTTTTAAAGAAGACAAATTAAGGAAAATAGTTACTACATGTAATTTGTAAAGATTAAAAAAATGTAGTAAATTAGGCTGCATTCACACTTGTTTTAGTTTTAGCCCAGGTAGAGACTAAATATAGACTTGGTTTGATCCTGTTTTATTCCAAACAATCCAAGGAATAGTCTAAATTTAGTCCTAATTTTGATCGTGTAAATGTAAATGCAGCTTTATATGGTAGAGTTACATATTATAACAAATAAATCATAAAAAATACTGTCATTTTAGAGAGGTCAAAAAGGGAAAAAAGAAAACTTGCCATAAAGAAGGTGTTAAACAATGTGTTGTAAACTAAAATTACCCATAGATTATTTCCTGTACAATATACAATAGCTCTGATGGCTCTTCTCTGTTAGCTCAGCTCTCCTCCTGTTTCTTTATCTAACCCATCCATCTTCTCTATGGATCTACAGCTGAAATGTACCTCTAATGCACATTCAAGGGCAGGCGCAGTATTTTAGCGACCATATCTTACTTATTGCCAACACTGCTTGCATTGTTTGTCTAGACTGGTTCCTAAATGTTCCTGTATTTTCTGTCATTATTTTAGATCCATTTGCAACGTTTGGGTAAAATTATGATTATATATTCCTCCCACAGAGTCTGATGGAAGCTTGGAAGATGAGGGACAGATACAGGTACAAAACTGTCAAAAAGAACTTGAAGACTTGATTACGGCATGTTTTAAATGCATTAGTGACAATCAGCGAAGACTGCGCCGCTACACAGGCAGATAAACCAAAACAACATAGATTTAAAGACATGAAAACGTGATTACATTACATGAATCAAATCAGTCCTTAATGAAGACGCTTATTTTATACAGTGATAAATGTTTTTATTTGTGATTAGTGCGAGATCCTGGAAAGGCAACGTGATGAAGCTAATCAGAAACTGTCTGAATTGGAGGAAGGTAAGAATAATCAATGATTTTATACTTTCAAATAGAATCGTCACGGATACCGAAATTTCAACTTGATTTTAATGCCAGTGATGTTTCATAATGAAGTAATTAACTATTTAAAATTAACTATTATGTCTTGACTGGAAAAAAGTCCTCAAATGTTGCCTATAACACGAAGATGAACCCCTCAAATATAATATAATGTAATTTTCAACACAAAATAACTTAAATATTACCATGTGATTTCCGATAACTATTCAGGAAAAGTATTTTTTGTCATATTTATGCAATTTTCTTATTACATTTTCTATTGAGTATTTAGTTTGGACTGTAGTTCTAGTATCAATTAGGTTTTGTAGATTTTGTTGTAAGATTAAATTGAATCTAATCTAAATCCTTTGTGTTTCCAGTGTCCAGTCAGCTGCTGAAAGAAATGAACATGCTGGAGATTCAGTTTCAGATTGAGCGTTCATGCAGAGAGTCAGCAGAGGCTCTGGCTGTCAAGGCAAGTCTTATTTTGCATTATATATTGTGTTATTTTCATTCATTTCAATCCAATCCAACTTTATTTGTATAGCACGTTTTATAAACAAGACAGTTTCCAAAGTGCTTGAAATACGTAGCAATGTAAAAAAAAATTATAATAAAATAAATAAAAAAAATCAGCTGACTTATGTTCCAATCATGAGGAAACTAATAGAATCAATCAATAAAAAAAATCAAATCAAATCAGTGAACAAAAATAATAAAATCAATACATAAAAGCAGTACTAAAAAAAAAAAATAGATAAAAACAATACATAAAAAATAGATAAATAAATAAAATAATTAAATAAAAGACACAGCATTATTGTCTTTTATTGATCACTGGCTAATTTCAGCATGTATTTCAGCCATTATTGTAATATGGTCATTGTAGTTGCTTTGTAAAAATGTTTTATAAATGGTAAATAGATAAAATTAGTAATATAATACTTGGTTGACTTTTTGGGTCAGTAATTCAGAATTCTAAACTGAAATCAGATTGTAGATTTTTTGACTTGGTGTATGGTTAATATCGCTGTAATTGTCAGCATAAATAAAAAATTTACACTTTTTTAATTACGTATTGGTTGAAAGGACATAAAATTAATATAGCAAGTTTTCAGAGCCAATAGCAAACAAATAATGATACAATTCAACACTTATAGATTATAAGTTTGGATATTTCTTTCAAAAACTGCAAATCCACCCTAGAGTTAAACAGGCCCATGTTCTCCATTTGAAATTATGATGTCATCAAGTTGTCCAACATTAATGTAATCTTTTATTTGGCAGAATCACAGTGACTTTATCCTCTGGTACTTTTATGTACAGAAAATACACTGTGGTGCTCTTCATTCATGTCCCATTCCTATTGTATACCTATTGTACTCCTACTGTGTACTGTAATACTTTATCTACTTGAATCCTGTGCGTCTCCTAGGTAACCAGAGAGAACAGTGTACTGAAGCGACAGAGCCAGATGCTGCTGCCGCTGATCCCAGAACTGCCCGAAAACTTCTCCAAAGACCTCAGTGTGTCCCTCAGTCAAGACCAGTGCGTGAGTCTGACTGAAGACGTGTCTGTTGTGACCTTTGACCCCGTGCTGGAGGGGGTAAACGGAGCTGACGAGTGCGACGCAAGGGGAGTGGTGGGCGACAATCTACTACTGCAGAGCCAGGCCAAGATCACAGGTTCTAAAACTTTAGCAATGTTTATGCTCTGTAATCATGTCAAGCAGAGGATTTCACTACTGAATTATCCCCTATAGTTTCTGTTTCTCCCCTAGAGCCTAAAAATACTCAATAGTAATTTAGTAAAACATGTATATTTTTATTCTTATGTATATTTTTTTATATACAAACACTACACATTATCCAACATATTTATTGTTTAAAAAAGCCTACATAAAAGTTTTAATAAGTGGCAATTTTGTAGGCATTGTAGTGTCCACAGAGGTCGTTTTGAAAGGTTCCATGTAATTATTTATTAGATAATTACTTAACTTATTACTTAATAATTATAACAATCTACTTTGTTTGATTGGACATAACTTTTTGCAAATAATCACTTATTTTTACAGTTTCACTGTCCTCAAATTAGATCCTTTATGTGTACATTTTGTTTTGAATATAATTAAATATATACATACATAAGTAAGTAAAGTAAAACCATAACCTTTTGAACGTGATGATGATGTGACTCCCAACCTCATTGTTTAACAGAGACCAAAACAGGAACCAAAAACTCATGTGATTTAGGGCTTTGTCTGATGACTTACTTTAGTCTCTGTAACCTTGTGAAAATGTAAAAAGGTGTAGTAAAAACCCACAAGCAGCAGTAACATCTATTGTTTTGTTTGGCAAGACTGAAAACAAAGACATGCTCATATCTAGCATTCTTTATGGTCATGTTTGTACAGATAAAAAATACAGATTGATAAATATTTAGTTACTCATAATAACACTGGCAACACAACGGCTGGTAGTAAGTTTTCTGGCCCAGTTACAAGTCAGATCTGTGTAGAGGCAACTACTACTACTACTATAATTTCTACTAATGATGAATTTATTTTATTTCTAGTAAACTTAATAACATATTATATCATAAGACTAGGACCTGACACGTTAACATTTCAACCGTGATGCAACTTGAATGTTATCCCGTATTTCTTTGACCCTTCAAAATATAAAAAATAATAAATACTTGATTGATTAACTGTGTGCAGAGCTACAGGCCTCAGTGGACGGACTTCTGTCTGAAAAACTACAACTGGAAAACCAAGTGGAATTTTTGACCAAAGAACAAACGATGCTTAAAGAACAGGTACTACAGCAAACACCAAACATAATAAATGCGTGATTATGTGTTGGTATCTATTGTAATGTTTTTCTGTATTCAGCTGGAAATGGAGGTGCAGGAGAAAGAAGCAATATTGAGAAGAATGAATAAACAAAGCAAAACTATGAATAAAATCAAAAGAGGTATGTCACAATTTGCTGTACGTGTCAGTAGTCTTGTTGTATTGTATTGCAGTGTTGTAGGTTAAAGGTGCAAGTTTTTTGGTGTGGGGTGTACAAGCTGTTTGTCTCCATGGAGATATTCTTGCTTTGCCCAGGTGGCTTTAAAACAAATACATCTATTTCCAGAGGTCAGATCTGTGGAGAGGCAAGCCCATCGTAAGAATGCACAATTTTATGATATTTTTGAGCAATAAAAACACTTGTAATAGAATAAAGACAGATATTTCCAAAGAGACAGGTAGGCAACGCATCACCCCCCTAGAAAAGTTACTGACTGTATCTTTAAACTACCACTCTGTATTGGCGTCACAGTCTTTTCCACTTTAATCACTTTAAAAACTGAAGCGACATTCAAGGACTACTCATTCAGGTGTGAGATTTGAAAACACTTTTGAGAGACCTCTTAAGTATTTTATTTTATGGGACAGAAGTATGAAAGTATGAAATGATCACAGTGATGTTAAGATTAGTTGAAGATACTAAACATTTTTAGCGTGTCTCCTCTATTGCCCTTTGTCATGTAGAATGGTGGGTATGTTTGCGTTATTGACATACCTCAGCAATAAAATAGTGGAAAAGTGATAACTGCCACAGCTGAAAATGAACTTGAAATTATCCTTATTCAGCATTAGATTGCAGTCTTGTAATTTTGTATAGTGCTTGGATGGTATTGGGACAAACTTGAGCTAAAATATAAGACTATTAAACACTTTTGAATTAGTCCTCAGCTTAAGAAGAGCTGAGCTAAGATAAAATGGGCTTTTAAATTAAGCAAACTATTTACCAACACTAGAAGATAACTATGTACCAAAAGTATAATCTCCACCCCAAAAGGAGAACTGCTAGTATATGCTGTAATTGTTCCCTATTTTATTTATTTATTATTCATATTCATATTATTAAAGCATTATTCATGACTAAAATGAGGGCAAACTAAAATGGACCAGGGTACCACTTGCCAATATGCAGCAAAAACAGGATCTCAGAATCATATGGGAAGTTGAAAAAACAGTACAGTAAGTAAAATTTAAGTGTTAAGAATTTAAACTTAAGAATACAGACGTTTAAGACACAAAAGTCTTTAAAATCCAAAAAACTTCCCGGTTAAAGAGGTCTGACAGCAGATGATGTGTTGTGTTGCGTGCAGTGTCCGAGCTCGTCACAGAGGAGTTCACGGAGATGTCTCAGAGACTGGAGCTGGAGCAGGGCCTGAGGCAACACGCCGAGGTCTGGGCCGTCCAGGTGAGATCCACAAACGCACCCAAAACATGCAAAACGTTCACACCTATTTCATCTTTCTATACCACACACATGTTGGGTTTCATGTTTCTTTGGGACATTACCTTGACTTACATCCGTTTATTGGAGACTGATCCAAACCTTAACCATAACTAGGGAACTGAAACTGAAATTGACTACAGAAATTTTTATTATACTAAAGACTTGCCATCAATAACTTGACTAAAAGGGGGTGTGTCACTTGTAAAAGCTCTCAAAATTATTAGGATCTATCTATACAAGTGAACTCTTTTCTGGCATAAATTCTTATACTTATAAAATAGTCTACCAAAAATGTGGTCGACTAAGACACCATCAACCAATAAATTGACTAAACGACTTAAAGGCTCACTGTTACTGTCACACCTGAACCTGGGCTGCTGGTGCCTAAACCTGCAAACTGAGATTAGTACACAAGTTTTTTTCATGTCCAATATTTTTGTAAGTAAGAATAAATCAACAGAGTGAAACTAGAATGGTTATCAATAAAAGTTAACTTATTATCTGAGGATCTGGGGACACAGATAGACCAGGTTTATGAAATTTGAAATCTGACATACAGTTCCTTTAACCTATTTAACCTATATCTTAACTTTAAACCATGTCATTGATCTAGTATTAAAATCAGTTGGGGACATGATTTTCGTTCCTATAAGTGAGGCAGGTCTCTATGATGTGATTGTGTTTACAAATTTTACTGTCACCTGGCGACCATAATGTTAACAAGGGCCAAAGCATGTCTAAATTGCACCAAAGGTATGATTACACTCATAAAAATAAATTACAACACCTTTACTTTGTTAATTGAAGGTTTTAAACTGCCAGAAAAATGCCGTCCCTGCTTACAAATTGTCCCTGCATTTTGGATGGAATTTTTGATGATGTTGATGACATAGGTAGAACTATTCCCTGATACTTCTTGTGTTTTTATACTTTTATTCTCAACTTTATTTACACAAACTGTTGTAAAACTATGATTTTGTCTATTTTAACCCATATCTTAACATTGAGCCATGTTGTTGATCTAAATATAAAGGATTTATATCATGGGAGTAGAGGTGTGCAAAAATATCCTGGGTTGCTGTATCAATATATAAGAGTGCTTTTTAGTACATTTTACTAAATTATTTTGTTACAGCGCTATAATTTTGTTGCTTGTTTAGAGGAAGGAAACTCTTTTATGCAACACATTTGACATTTTCACTGTGTTGATGAGTAAAATGGGTGTGTTTCATATTCACTTTGTACAAGAAGTAGTGACTTTTAGTGTCACAGCCATAATTTTTTTATTGAATCAAATCAAATCGAATGAAAATATTGTATCAAATTGAACGCTCACTGTATTGAGATATATATCGTGGCCTATGTATCGAGGTTTGTATCGTATCGGCAACTTCTTAATGACACCCAGCCCTACATGGAGGCCTAGTTTTTGTCTCCATAATGTTAGTGTGTATGTGTCATGATAACAAATTTTGAAATGTGATATATTGCTGAAGTAAATATAGACGATATTTTAATTTATACCACTGACACAAAAGCCCCAAAACAGATTTAAATCACAAAAAGTGTTCTAAATGTACAATATTGTTTTAAAAAATCATAAGCTACTGTAGTACTTAGTCTGCATCTGTAATGGGTCGTAGAAGTTTTTATGGCTTAATTCTTGTCAAATAGCCAATAAATAACCAAAAAATTCCTAATAGAGCAAATAAAATATACACACAATAAATATTAACCCCATCTTGTTCCAGCTTTCATATACTGAATGTCGATAAAGTGATTATTGTGACAGGCCTACATACAGATTTTAGTCCCCACAATCCGATTAATACCTGCTCACACACTCAAGATGGAAGGTGACAGCTCGTGCCAAGCTACGGTACGGGGTGTTGGCTGTGACCTTCAGGCGTTTGGGGTGCCATAGCGGAGAACGAGGTCGTCATGGAGATGGGAGGGGGGGTGTGGCGGCTGCGGCGGCGCTTCTGTCACCAACTGGTTTATGTGTCGGGACAGGAGAAGAGTGTCCATTCCTCTGTGTTTCACGCCAATGCTGAGGTGGAAGCAAAACTATACAAATGCTCAAAATGCTGTGTTCAAGTAGGTTTTTAGGGTACTTTTTTTATTTAACACATTTCTTGAACTGAAATAAAACTGATAATAACCTGTGCTACGTAACTTTTCTGGGAAAGGGTCCACCAATTGCTTATCTCTTGTCTCTGAGATGCCACAGCTTAAAATGTTTCACAGTATGGCATTAAACTTTTTGGGATTAATACATCTTGTGTTTTTATTGCCTTGAAAAATGTTTGCTGTATTCTTGGCCTCTCCATAGATCTGACGTGTAATTTGCTTGTCTCCATGGAAATAAATACATTTGCTGAATTAGTGTGGCAATTACATCTTCATTTAAACAAGAAGATGACTAACCCTCCATCGGAAAATTTACATTGCACCTTAGAAAATAATGTGATATTAGTGTAACTTTTACATTTTAGTTGATTAATTTCAAAGACTCTGTTGTTTATCGTCTTAAACACTTGAAAAACTAAACTAGTTCATTTTAAAATGTTTGCAGAGGTCAAAAGTGATTCCTCGGTAACTTCACAAATTTAAAACATGTTCATTATTAACACTGTGATGAGTTTATAAGTTTATAAGTGCAATTCACAAATCTCAGAGAACAGAACAGGAATTTTCCTGTGACTAGCATGCTAACTGCACATTTCCTGATTCTCAGACAATGAAAAGCTTTATAATTAAATGCTGACAGTACATAGCAGGTTTATTTTGACTGGTTACTGGCTTACTGGTCCTTTATTTTTCTGTAGTACTTTTTTTTTTCAGACCATGTACAGACCAGTATACTACTACACTACTACTCAAAACTTTGTACTCACCCTTTAATTCAATGTTTTTTTCTTTTTTTTTTACTACTTTCTACATTTTATATACATATAAAAGACATCAGATAGAAAAAAGTGAAATAACTCTACTTTATATTTTTCAAAAAAGCAAAAGGAGACTGATTTGAGGATTCGAATATACAATTTAGTAGAGTTATTTACTTTTTTTTTCTTTACTACATAATTTCATATATCTTTCTTCATATAAATGTCATCTATATGTAAGAAAACCTGTAAGAAATAAACAATGAATGAGATGGTGTGTCCAAACTTTTGACTGGTAGCCTATGTATACATCTTTGCCTATCTCTCATGTCAGTCAGCCTCCTCAGCAGCACCATTCACCAACATAAGACAAAAGCAATGACAACACCAATTCACTCACATACCCAAACACATACATACACCCCAGTGTTGTGCCTGCTCCAGCTGCTCCCATTATAAACCATTTTCTTTCACCCAAAAACGCCCCCATCCCCATTTGGCCCCTCCCTTCGCCATAATTAGCGGTCATCTCTGCCACCGGAGTAGAATAGTGGTCTTTAAGCGCAACCTGTCTTTCCCTGACACCTTTATGTTTTCGCATATATAGCAATTGTCGCTTTTGTGTGCTTCGTCCCACATTTACCGGACAGGCACACAATAGGGCGCCTAGCAGGGGTCCTTACCTGTGAAAAGCACCCCCAACTGTTCATACAATTCAACCCTTTTTACTCTCAATTCATGTTAAAAGACCCCCTGCGCTTGAATGCCTCTTGTATGCTCCACTATTTGTGTGTGTTTTCATCTGTTTTCACAACACAAACTATTCACACCTCTCCTCTCCGATGCATGGTGGTATAACAGGAAGCAATTTGAACCTTTTTGTCTCTTTGTAAAGCCGTGTGTGCATGTTATTATGTGTTTCTATGTATGAAATAATGCTGCTAATTGGTGTGAGAAAATGGGATCCTGCAACTAAGGGTTAGGGGAGTAGATTGTACCGAATGATAGAGACCAAAAAAACTGTTCCTTAAGTTTGTCGAGGAAGGCAGAAATGAAAGTCAGTCAGGCATGTTTCCTGTTTTCACATTATTGTTCTTCTCATAAAAAGGTGACAGTTTACAAATGGCAATTGTACGTCATTGAAATTCAGGGGTTGTATTTGTGGTGTCATTTTGGTTACACTGTAAAAAGAATTAAATTTTAAGGCAGAATTGTAACTATAGCTTGAAAAAACATAAACATTTTCCTATATTACAATTATGACTTTGTCAAATATGTACCATTTCAAAAGAACAACTTAATTTTTGTGTAGTCTTTTAATGGTTACAAGCTTGTTATAAATAAAATGTACATTAAAATAACTACAGTGTACTATATAATAATTTGTGATACATTTAGTTTCTTTCAAAGTTGAACATACCAGGATGACTGAGTTATTACACAGACATATTTCAAAGTGGTATTTTTTATGGATTGTCTCTGCAAGTAACCTAAAAATATACTATATCTGGTTATTTATTTTAGTGTATTTTAGTGAATTTTATTTAAACTAAGTAACTTTTCCTATTTCGATGGAGATGGTATTGCTTTTCCTTGGAATGTTCCACAATATCACACAACTCAACTTGTCTACACTCTAAACCCAAATAAGTTACTAGAACTTAAAATCATTTAGGCAATTGATATGACTCATAGTTTTCTGTTAAGGCAACTTAGTTATTTTCATTTATTATGACTTCAAAATTCAATAAATTAAAATAATGTATTTGTTTTGATAGATTTTAGTACTTATTTGGTGAAGCACTTTGAAATTGTATTGTATTTTAGCTTTACTATATAAATTAAGTTTGCAGTTACAATAGAAATAACTTTATCATTCTCAGCGTTTAATTACTTAATTCTACGTTCTCATCTGTGTTTTTGAGTTACACTCACTTATACCCACAATAGTTCCCTTTAATAAAAAAAATAAATAAATACACAAAAAGAACATGTTACAGTAACTTGACATAATTAAGTTACTAGGACTACTTCTAAAACTTTGACTATACACAACTTAATCTATTTAATTACTTTGAATGTTCACGTTTACAGTGTATCTTGCATTTATACAATCAAAGACATTTGCAAAGCTCAAATGTACATTAAAAAACATAACTTACAAGCCATAACATCATATGTAATTATAACATATATGCATAAGCCACTTTGGAACATTTCAGACTATAACATCTCCATGGAGACAAGCATGTGTCAGACCCTCCGCTAGAAAAGTTGCATCGTAGACTTTTAAGAAAACAACATGACTCTTTGAAAATGAGTCTTATTTTCATAGTTTTATTTGACTATACATAAGAGTTTGACATTTATTAATATTACCGTACTAGGTGTGTTCAATTTTACCTGGAGCAACTCATTTAGAAACAGCATTTTTCTGGACGTTTTTTGCTTCAAGTCTTTCGTACTTGTTGATACAGCCCTAGGAGTCATACATAAATCTTAATATTTAGGTCACATTCTCCTTTTGACTTTGTATGGCTTACCACACATACAAATGCCCTGAATGCAGCTTTGTGGAGTGGTTGCATGCTTTGAACAAATTTGGAAAAACTACCTGTGTGTCAATGACCTACATTACTGACGACAGAAGAAACCACAAATTCAATAGGCCTATTCTGGCTCATTTTTAGCATTTAAAAGCTTTCATTTCAGCCACATAAAACAGGTACCACTTAGCAGATACGTGCGGTCAAAACAGCTCACAAAGATAATATCGCAAATCGACGCTAAGCACAATAGCCGGTAATGCTCGTTTATACAATTTCTTTCCCCTCATTATTAATTAAAAAAACCTATTATGAATCAGGTAGCGGTTTGCCTCCCATAAAAGCGGCTCTTGTGAAAAATGTTTTAATTTATATTCTGTAAAGCACAATTATTCCTGTCTTTTTATGTTCATTGTGTCACGGCAACCATACAAACTCCCATTTAGACTTTAAGCAAAACATGACCATTTGTCCACCAGGCAAAATACATTGTTGATTTTCTTTGCTGCAGATAGTGAATGAATGAAGGCATTGTTCCATAAAAACTTTGCTTTGAAAAGGCTTGTTCTGCATTGTGACAACCTCCTGGGGTCTGCAAATGAACATGTAGCCATTTAGATCCCACTTTATCGCTCTATAATTGTACCATTTTGTGTGTTTCAACGCCATTTTCAAGATAATCATAAGGCTTTGTTTAAATTTCTCTCTCTTTTTCTTCAATTGAATGTTTTTTTTTTTTTTTTTTCAGATGTTAGAAGCACAGAAAATAAACCCTGCGACAAACCATGAGACCAATGTGCAGCTCCAAAATACCAATGTGCAGCTCCAAAATGCTTTAGAACAAATATCGCAAATGAGTGTCGCCTTGAGAAACATACAACATAGCTACCAGAATCAGGTTTGTATTTGTTGAGCATTAAACAGTGGTTATCATTACATAAAAATACCATGTGACTAGACCTGGACAGACACGATATTATTCTAGTTCAGCTGTAAATGCTTTTTTGTTAAACCGCAAGCATGAATATCGAACAACGGACATTTTAAACTTTGATTAGATCGATTAAATTTGCCTTCATTGTAAAGTTAAAGTACTATGGAACTCTTTTGGTGGAGTCTCTGCTTTGTCTCGTGGAGGTTTTATTGTTTTGCCTGAAATATTCTACTGTAAGGCAGAAAATATGTGACTCTGGCATTTGTTTAATTATAGGTGTTGCTAAAAATATGACATGGTCTATGGTATAATCTCCTTTCCTCCTTCTTAAAAACTGATTGAAAAGTTTAATCCCATAGTGTGGAACATTCCAGGCAAAGCAATAACATTTCCACAGAGACAAGTAGGTAGTGGAACTCACCCAGAAACATTATATAGTGCACTTTTAAACAAAATTAAATCATTAATTACATTAATTGCATTAGTCCATATGTGACACTTTGCTGAATGTCTGTCCCCATTCTTTGGCTATTTTATGTTGCTTAATGTCCAATTAAATTTACTCAATAGAGATGTAACAGTAACCGAAATATCATGATATCATATCGTCAAAGGTCTCACAATAATATCATGGGCTGTCACAATATATCAAATTACAAGTTTCTTTCCTTAAATGCATGGTTTTCTTGAAGCAACTACTTATAAACATAGGGAACTACATATCCCATGATTAATTTCAGTGCAGACAACATGAAGAGATGAGAAGAGATGTTTTTTACTTCAATTTTTGGGATTATGATGGAGATAATTCACACCAAAATCTTGTCAAGGTATTTTAAAGGCAAAAAAGTGCCCCTTCTACAATTATATAAGCTTCTCCAGAATATCGCAATAAATATTGTACCATGAGATGCATATTGTGATAATATCGTACCGAGAGATTTGGATATCGTTACATCCCTAGTATTCAATATGCCAAAAATATATATTTGTTTCTTTTCATATTAAAGATTTGTGTAAAAAACTGTGTCCAGCAGATTTTGGGCCCAATGCATCACCAAATGAAAACCAGAGATATGTTTGGGCTTAAAAGTGGCAAAAACTGTTGCCATGACAACTGACAACAAAAATGTTGTGTGAAAAATTTAAATATCAGTATATTGTATCATTTAATGTGGTATCGATATCATGGGCTGCTGTGTTGATATATGGTTGATATATGTGGAGTATTTTTTGGTATATTTAACTAAATTATTTTGTTACAGTGATACAGTTTTGTTGCTTGTTTAGAAGAAGGAAACTCATGCAACATATTTGACATTTTTACTGTTTTTGAGTAAAATGGGTGTGTTTCATATTAACTTGCACAAGAAGTGGTAACAAAGACATTTAGAAACAGAGCCATGATTTAGCCTTTTTTTTTTTTAAACCGTATTGAATCAATTTGAAATATATTATATTGAATCGTATTGAATTGAAAGCTCACTGTATCGAGACATGTACCGTATCATGGCCTATGTATCGAGGTATTGCCGATTCTTAATGATACCCAGCCCTAATTGACAAAAAATGTATCTATTGCAATATTATTATCTTATGAATTATGTTTTAAATGGTGAAAAGTGCTCAAGTTGGAGTTTACAACAAGAATCTGAAATCCATCTTCCTCCACAGTTCATTACAAAGTACATGATGTGTTTATGCAGGTTAACCAGGGTTCACATGATGCAGAGGAAGTGGCCTTGAAATGTGAGCTGCAGGATTTGAAAGAGAAGCTAAAAACCTGTGACGATGAGAAGAAAGACCTGGAAATTAAACTGTCTGAGGCCAGCAGAAAAGTTAATGTGCTACAACAAGAAGGTAGTGGGCCCAAATAGTATTTCTAACATAATTTCTCAAGTTCAAATGGATAAAGTGTTAGTAATTTTAGCAATAACAGTACCATCCATTGAAAAGCATGCCTGAGTTTTCCAGTTTTAAATGTTACATTGGAAAGTATCTTATTTTATTTCAAACCAGTGTGTAGCCAGCAGCATACAAACACATGAAAAAAAACAGAAACATAATATCTAGCTATAGTACTTCTATTGCTTGTAATAAATATTAAGTTTTGTTTCCCATTTACTGAAGTGATACAGTTAAAAGATTATCAGACAGCGATGATGTCCAGAGGTGAACCAGAGGAACAGAAAACTCCCACTGCTGGGGTCCCTCCACCTCCTCCTCCGCCCCCTCCTCCTCCTCCACCTCCTCCTCCTCCACCTCCTGTGAACAAGTATGTATCTGAACACGCCAAATACTTCCTCTAACTATAGTACACACTAGGGCTGCATGATACATCGTAAAAGTATTAAAATCGCAATATTGTCTAATGTAATAACCAATATCACAACAAACTAAACAGCTAACAGAAATGTACTGTTTTGTAATGTTTTGTATGTAATGAACAGCCATGTCTCATATCGCAATAAATTTAATAGTTTTAACATTTGATTTGCTTTATTGTCACAGTACACTTGAAATTCTGAAACAAAGACGCAAAGAATCAGCAGCTAAAAGTGCTGGAGAGAAGAGTGAGTTTTAATGTTTTATAATTTACTAAAATAATAATGTGATGTAATTTACTAAAATGTAATGATGTAATTTAGTAAAATAATATATTTAAGTATATTTGGTTTATTTTTAGATGGGACACCCTTTGCAGATATGAAGTCAATGGCAGTGACTGAAATGATGGAAAGGATCAAGAAAGGAATCGTGTTAAGACCAACCAACACAGTGCTGGTCAGTGAGTGCAATATCTTGTGTAAAGCTGCACTATGTAACATTTCTGGTGAAGGGTTTTCTGTCTGACATGCCGTTGCTTTGCCTTGAATGTCACACACTATTATTGGCATTAAACAGAGATGAGAAGGTGACACCACCAGGCCAAGTTACAGGTCATATCTGTGGAGAGGGGCTATAACACATGTTTTTCAAGGCATTTTTGAGCAATAGAAATACCTGTAACAGGATAAATACAAGATATAAGTTTAATGCCATACTGGGACATTCCAGGCAAAGCCATAGGATTTCCACAAAGAGAAGAAGGCGCTGTATTTTTCAGAGAAAAGTTACATAATGCATCTTTAATAATTCGTTTACTGTAAAATTCTTATCTTTCATATATTTTTAAAGCAGGATGATGGCATATGGAAGGTATGTAATCCTTTCAATATCTTTTAAAATATCTGTTCATAAAATCTTAAAATCAGTTTTAAAATGTCATTATTATACAGGACCAACAAAGTGAAAACCGAAAATCAGCCATTGTGGAACTTAAAGGAGTCTTGGTAATGCACCCACACAAAAATAATTATTAATGGTTTTATTTGTGAATAAAAATCACAGTTTTTTCACTCTGTGTTTAATGAGGATGAATGATGTGTAATATGATTATTGTAAGACAAAATAAAAAATAAAAGTAAAGGGTATTTACAGTATAGGGTAGGGCTGTGCAATTAACCAAATTTTTTAACCGAGATTAAGACTGTAATTTCTAATCATCAATGATCAGCTTTGGTCGTTTTTAATCAAGTGGTCTTCAGCCAATTCTCTGTCATTAAAAGCTTGTGGTTTGGAGCAGCGTTCAAACTTTGGAGGAATAAATTTGATTTACTTTTGAGTCAAATGGCAATGGTTTATGCTGTGTATGATCAGAAAAATAATATAAGAGACTTGATTAAATTGAATTGAAAACTGTGATTGTTTAGTAGGAGGAAAAAAATTTGATTCATTTTTTTGTCATAAAGGCCAGTCCGAGTATAGGATCATGATGCATATGTCTGTTTCATTAGAACACCTTGAAACGAAAGCCCCATCGCAGACAGTCCTCCAGACGAGGTTTGGGCAGAAATGTGGGAGAGACAGAGCTGCTGTCTGTGCTACAGAGGAGGAGGAGGGCCATGGAGGACCCCCCACAACCACTGGAATCTACACAGTCTCAAGGTACAAAATAAAAGAAAAAAATCCTTTTCCCCTACTGATTATTAAACAAACTGAAGTAGTAACACATTAAAGATGTACTATGTGATTTTCTAGGTCCACTACCTGCTTGTTTCCAACAAAAACAATGCAAGCACCATAAGTTTAATACTTTACTGATTTCGGGCAAAACAATAACATCTCTGTGAAGATAAGCAGTTTCTGAACTCCCTCACCAGAAAAGACAGCTGCTATACTGAGTGAAATAATCTATATACTATAAAATATACAAATATGTTTTATTTTCTTGAAGTAATCCCATCAAACTCTTAATAACAACACAAAAAGTCAATTTATTTTACTTTATTTACTGAATTATTTTTGATCATCTTAAGTAAATGTTTGACCTACATAACTAGAACACTAATTTAATAATAATAATACATTTGTATCTGCCTTTCTGGCCGCCTTGCAGCTATGGACACACAGTAGCTCAGTTGGTAGAGTATTTGGCAGGTTGGTGGTACAGTTCTGCTGTCGTTGTGTCCTCAGGCGAGACACTAAACCCACCTTGCCCCCAGTGTCAGGGCACGCTGGTGTATGAATGTGTGTGAGAATGGGTGAGTGGTTCCTTGATGTAAAGCGTTTTTTTGAGAGCCTTGAAGGTGGAAAAACGCTGTATAAAACTGTGACCATTTACCATCACTTGATACAGTTGTGAGTCAGTTTATTTACTTTCACTATGTGCTAATCTTGTTCCAGATGCAGCCAGCTCAGTGAAACCTGAGCATGTTTCATGGTTCAGTGACAGTGGATCTGCTCCTGTGCTGCGGAGACTCACACAGAACAGAAACCAGCGCGACTCCAGAATCAGAGCCTCAGCTTTGCTCATCAACCCAGGAGAAACTGCAAAATAGGCTACAGTCATATTACAACACAACATTAAAGAAATCATGGGCTTTGGCTTTCTGTTATCCATGGGTTTCAGAATCATTAAAAATTAAGATTGTTGCCATAACAATTACAACTCTGCAACAAACTATTGTAGCTTTAGAACAGGGAAAAGTCCTCAAAATGCTGCATAACAGTAAGATGAAACTCATGAATAAGTGCAATTTTATCATCATTCTGAAATCCATGGATAGTTTAAAATTGAGCTGAAGGACAGGTCAGATTTTTATGTTGGAATTTGCTGTTTATCTGATTTGATTGCAGATTTCTTGACCCAGCCTGTCCACATTAAAGAAAAACTGTCATATAATTCAACTTTTTTTTTTTTCTTCGCACTATCTTGAAAAGTGGTGCCATTGCTCAACCCCAAAACGTGACTGTGAGCTGAAAGGACTTTAAGCCGAACAATTAATATATAAAGTTTTTAAAGAATCCTAACAAAATATGATACAACACACAACATTTCTAGATCATCATTTTGAATATTTCTTCTAAAACAATAAATCACCCATTAAGTGAAATGTGAAAGCAACCTCTACAAAGCACTGAAATGGTTTGTGTTGAGTAAATTGCTCTTGGAGAAGCCCATTACATGTTTAATTGTGAAATCAATATGAAAATGCATTTGTGTTTTCTGTGTATAATTGCAGGAAACAAGAGCAGTTTTATGGTAAAGGTTAACAAAAGACCTGTCAGTAATGAGTTCAAAGCCAAAGAAAGCTAACATAACCACCGTGGTTTTAAATTAGAAATGCAGCCAATTCAACCAAAGCTTTAAATGGTCACTTTGAAAAGAAGTAGATCTATGTTTTGTGAGAAAATTGTTTACATGTAAATCTGAAAATGACAACCTAAATGTCCTTTTATTTACAATATTGTGGGGATTCTTTAACTGTGTCAAAAACCAGTTCAGCTTTTTGATACCAATTCTTAAAGGTCCTACATTTTTAAGCTTTAAGTATTTGCTGATACCCAACATCAGTGCCTACAGAGATTGAAAGAAGATTAATTATTATTTTATTCCAAAACTGATCCCAATGTGCAACTTTTTTTACTCTATCTGCATGTCTCCATGGAGATGTTATTGTTTGCCAGGAATTTCCTAGCCAGGTTGGCGCCACCTAGTGCTTTCACTCAATTGCATTTCTCTCCAGTGTCTAGGTCAGGAATCGGAATACACTAGATGGTTTACAAGAACCCCTGGAAGTTGTACACCGCACACCGGCCAATCAGCGAAGAGCTGAACTAACCCCAGCTTAAATTCGCAAGTTTGCCAACAACAATTGATTGTTGACAGACATGTTCATTTTCTGCTTTGTTTGCTATTTTGCCGGCAATTACTTGGACACCACTGAGCGTTTCGGCGCATTACATACATCACGATCAAATAGCAGTGATTAGTTAAATAAAAAAGTACCCGCCTACCGTCGAGCAAACAAATCCTAATGCTGCAAGGTCAGACGGTTTCCACAAAGTGAAACCGGACGATGAATCAGGCTAGGAATTTCTCACAATATGGCATTAAACTTATGTAGATTCAGATTGAAACTTAATCTAAAATCAAGGCTTCAAATCAATCCTAGAGCACTGGAAACGAACCACATCGCACCATAGACCAAATTTCAGGTGCCAAGATATTTCACTATTTATATGAAAAAGAAAATAACTTTCAACCATTCAACCATGCGTACTGTCTCCACATATTTAAGTGAAAGTTTAAGTACTGTACTCAGGTAGAAAATGGCCAAACCTGTTAAAATCCACTTTGGCTAGTGTGTCCGTTCTTTCTAAAGGTGTTGGCCTATCTTTTAAAGTCTAGCAGGAGCACTGCTCTATCCAATGTATTTTATTTAAGCCTATTAAATAAATATATTACCGTCATTGAAAAAAGGTGTTGTCTCAGGACTCAGGTGATCTCTAAATCTATGCTAAAAGTATATTTAAATGCGCTGGGTTGCCATTGTTTTCTCACCTTTATAGACCTTATATGCATGAATGGATCACGCTAAACTAAATCTGCCATTTTTATTGGCTAAAAGCATTTGAATGGCGATGAAGCTCCCCTCACCTCTGACTTTGACACCATTTAAGTGCCTTCTTCACGCTGTTTTCGCATTATATATTTACTGTATTTAGCCCCCTTTGCCATAAGCTCTGTCTTTTCACTCCTGCATTTTTCATTATTTTCGCCCTTAAACTCAAAGGTGTCAGATTTGCAAATGAAAGCATGGTCTGACTCTTTTTATGCAATCCCTTTGTGTGTTTATGGACAGAAAAAGGGTAAAGGAAAGGCTGAAATTGATATGGCTTATTCAGGGCTATAGCAAGTACAGATAATGGGTCATTTATGTTGAGAAAACCTTAACTACAAAAAAATCACCTTATATATGCACAGCTGTCTATTTGAACAGATTGAAAAACCCGTATTATTTCGCCATTTTTTTATGTATGTTATAATGTTTTTTCCCATCAAAAACATACCTGCAGTTGTCTTTTGTTTAATTCTGCCATGTTTAACACAGAAACCCTTCATATTTACTTCTTCTCTCAAACAAAAAACACTCTGTTCCACCTTGTTCCACATTCACTAGAATAATCTGGGTAATTTCAGCTCTGGAATGATCAATCTCCACTGAACAAATGGTAAAACTTGGCTGTTAACTTGAAAACTAACACTTCAAGGTGAAGTAGAGTATTTTAACCTTTGACTAACCCTTTATTATTAGTTAGTGTGCATTTCCAAACATGTGTGAATGAAACAAAACACAACATAATTGTAATAATAATAGACTACCTACTATTATGGGGAGTTGCTACAATACAAAACATAACTATTTGTTGTTAATCAAAGAAATTTACAACATAAGACTATATAAACTTTGTGAGAATGTTCTTGCTAAACCTAAATTCTTAAACTGATATGTAAACCTGATTTCTGCCAATGGGACTGTGGATGAAAATGAGCCTGCATGGTTAACTCTGGCACATGCACAATTAATGTGCACTGTCCCATATTTAATAAATAAACATAAACATATTATTCTTCTAAATAGTATACAATTTTACTGAAGCTCAAATCACTGCAAAATGTGGACTGCTATTAAATATATATATTTTTAATTAGAACCAACATAAACTGTAAGACAAATGATTATCTTTTGACATTTATTTGAAATTATTAAATAAAATGGCCTTTAAATAATTGACAGGGAAGATTCAGTGGTGAGAGCAAAGCTATTGGATTATGCTCAGTGTGTCTATTAATATTTATCATTCGTGAATAATATAATGATCATTGTAGCATGAAGAAATAATGTTGAGAGAAGCACAGTAAACAGCAATATTAACTTATAGCATTTAATTACATTTTTGTTTTTGAACATTTATTCAAATAATTGTAATGGCTTAAGTAGATTTCTTTATGTGAAATATATACAAAATTAATTACATAATTTGCACTTGCAAGATGGCTTTGACAGAGCTAGTTTGAGCTACACTTTCATTCTCTGGCTTTTAACACCGCATGAGTTGTGTGATCCTCTTTGTCTTTTATTTATTTTGATGTTTATTATATATACATTATTATGTTTTTTATCTTTTTATTATTTATTGGTATTTTTGCTCTTATTTGATTTTCCTATAGTTTTCTTGTCTCAATGAGGACTAGAGAAGTTAAATAGAGCTTTATTTTATTGGATATGTTTTATTTGTGTTGTGCAGCACTTTGGAAACTGTTTTGTTTATGAAATGTGCTATATAAATAAAACTGACTGGATTGGATTAGACATTAAAATGCAATAAAATTCTACGATTTTCTTTTTTTTCTTTTTTCTTTTTAAATAAATATCAATATAACCAATCCTAATTATATTAAAACATGTTTTCTATTTAGTTTAGTCTTCAGGTCAATATAAATGGGAAAAGTTGAACATGGAAAAAAAATCTATAAGCATCCAAAGACAATTAAACATTTAATTTGCAAAAACATATGAATCTGTTTCGAAAATTTGTTACAGTGTTTTGTTTTACACTATTAATAATTCCTATTTAACATGTTTACTGTCTTCACACATTTAAGTGAAAGTTAAGTAGCTTCTGTTCGAGGTAGAAAAAAGCCAAAGTTACCTAGGGCCTATTAGTAAATTAATAACAGTAAATAGTTCAGGATATTTACTCAAGAAGTGATAGACTAAAATAGATATAGCTTTTGAAAGCACTGCTTGACAAATACTAAATTATTGTTGTATTCAAATGGCACTGATCATGTGTTTTTGCAAATGAACTTCAATTGCCCCTCCTCGCCGCAGGTGTCGCTGTCACAAAACCAGCGGAGCTTCTCTCGAAAACACAGGAACTTTGACACTGTTACAGCAGCATTTGCAGCAGCTCGTCTCTTTTTGTATTATTTTCATGTCCGTGTGTGTTTTTTCTTATGCATAAAGATGTGGTTTATTTATTTACTGAGCTGGCTGTCTTTGGTCATCCAGATTTCATTCGTCACTTTAGCGATAGGTGAGTAAGACTAAGCATGACCACAGCAGCTAACTTCAAAGCAGCGTTAGCTTAATGCTAGCGCCACTCTGCATTTTTTACCCAAATTAGCTTTTATCTACGTAATATTTATGATCACTGCAAAGTTAAACAACGTATGCAACTTGTAATGTAGACTTACAAAGCGTCAGAATCTAAATATTTAGCGTTTTGATGCAACAGATGAGCAATGAATGCATAAGATGTGTTTTATTCTGATCTAATCTAACAAACTAGGTCAGCAATACCACTGATCATTTCATCAATAAATAAAAGATTAATCTAATTGCATGAATATATTTTGTTATTGCTCATCGGATGTTAGCTTTTGGTGTGTTAACTTGTAAACATTTCCTTTTTGTCTTTCCAAGCTATACAGCAAGTAGCAAATAACTTTATAAACACGTACCATTATGTAAATTAAATAAGTGGCTTTTGTACAGCTTCTCATTTGGTTTTATTTTGCATTTCCGTTTCAGTCTGTACACGTTGACAAGTTACCTAAGCACGTGACCTGTCAGGTGTGGCTGTCAGTGCTCTTCAATTTATGGAGCTTGTGTCATAACCTGTTTTTGTCGATTCCCTAAACTTAAACATATATCTGTATATCGCCTATAGTCTACTGAATAATTATCATTTCTTTTCACAGCTGCCGGTCTGTACTATTTGGCAGAACTAATAGAAGAATACACAGTTGCCACAAGCAGAATAATAAAGTACATGATACTGGTGAGTTAAGAAAAATATATGTTATTTTTACTGGTATTCAGTATAAAACTATGATATAAGTCCCATTATTTTCTTGATTTATTCTTTGTAAATGGTAATATTGATTTAAAACAACTCAATAATAGGGACAATTGACTTCTAGTTCAATACTGCAGAACAGATACTGTATGCTCTGCCTGATTATTGAAGCAAGCAGCAGATATTCAAGTGTTTTTTTGTTGAAAAATAGCTAGGCCACATTTTTAAACCATGTGTGTATAAATCAGACCTGGGCATTGTACAGCTCCTGGGTCACATACGGCCCTTTGGCTAACTCTGACCGGCCTGTTTAACATTATTTGGCATTACAAAATAAACATCTTTTATCATTTTACATCATGCATGGACTAAAGCTGCATTGCTTTTATTTTAGAGGTGGGTTTTAAATAACATTTTCTGCAAGGCAACCTCACTTTTTCATTGCTTAGTTATAACAAACTCTTATCAGTCTTACCAGCGTTTCAAAACAATACTATTTATTTATTTATTTTTTGTTGTTGTTGTTGTTTTTTTATAAAGAAATACACTTAATATTATACAGAATTGAGTTTTCTGTTTCTCATGTGGCCCCATGGAAAAAATAATTGCCCACCCCTGGTATAACTCATAACTCATAACTATAAATAGCTTTTCCTTCCATTATAGCTGTGGTCTAACTGTATTGTCATGCTCAGTTTTCCACAGGAGTGCTAGCAGGCCTGTATCTGTTTGAAGGCTTCCCAGTGCTGATGGTTGGAGTGGGTCTCTTCACAAACCTGGTGTACTTTGGCTTACTGCAGACTTTCCCTTATATCCTGCTCAGCTCCCCCAACTTCATCCTCTCATGTGGTAAGCGTTATGCAACTTTCACCCATTGAATTATAAAATGTTTTACACAGTGTTACTGATATTTTTTTATGGGTGGCATTTTATCTTGAGACACACTTGTTTGGCCTCTCCCCTGCTATCTAAACATTTGGGTGGATGTGACAGGTGTACACATCCTTGTCCAGAGGATATAAAAGTTTAAAGCAAATAATAGATAGGTAGTTGCTCTAAATTACACATGTAGAAATGTCTTTGGAATGTATTTAATTGTAGTATATGTGCTTTAAGCAATATCACGTTAATAACTTTACAATGAGTAATTGGCTTGATGAAATATCTTCACCCTTGCTCAGTTTCCATAATTTTCCCTGGTAATTTGTGCTACAGTGTTGGTGGTTGTGAACCATTATATGGCCTTCCAGTACTTTGCACAAGAGTATTATCCATTCTCAGAGGTAAGCCCTTAATCTCTTATCACATTAATGCACAACCTTTGGACTAATTCTGTCTTATAATGCTTCATATAATATGTACTTGTTTGCAGGTACTGGCATACTTCACAATATGCCTGTGGGTGATTCCTTTTGCCTTCTTTGTGTCATTATCAGCGGGAGAAAATGTCCTTCCATCCACAATGCAGCAGGGAGGTGAGATTACAGCCACCTCACTCAGTATTGCATCATGATTACAACAGCAGTTTGTGAAATGAAAGTCTGGTTACTAACATGGGTCATGAGGCAGTCCATTAAAGTAATGGATTTATAAATGGCACTAAACTTTGTAAGCTGAGAAGATAACCTTATTAGCTTTGCACCTTTTGGTGTTACTCAGAAACTTAAATTATGTTGAGTCCTACCTACCAACCTGTAGGCCAGTTTCAGTCCAGTTTTTTAGTTTGAAAACCACTGTAGTTGCATATATGTTGTACATAGATGCTGTAACTAAAACACGGACATATTCTATGTTTCAGATGATGTGGTGTCAAATTATTTCACTAAAGGGAAGAGGGGAAAGCGGTCCGGGATACTGCTGGTGTTTTCTTTCCTAAAGGAGGCGATTCTGCCCAGTCGACAGAAAATGTACTAAAGGAAGAAAAAAAAACTCTGGATATTTGAGAAAGTTTGCCATCTTTTGTCTTGGAGTTTATGGCCGAAGCAGGAAGGACTGTGGACTATTTAACTTAAGCAGTGTCCAGATTGAACCGAGAGGATGGACCAATGAACAGAGCTTACTGCAATTCAAGACGTTCAACAGGCCATATCACTCCCAAGTATTTGTCTCTGTTGACTGCCAAAACATCACATCCTATGACTCTATGGAGCAGCTGGTTTGTAGCCCAGTACTTCATCTTTGACAATTTAGAGTCATATTGAAATGTTTCTACAAAACTAACTTGGCGGTGCAATTACAACATAAAGAAAAAGTTAAATTATTGGTTGATTTGCAATTTTGGGTGCACTATGTAACTTTTCTGGAGGTAGCTCACCTACCATGCAGATGTTATTGTTTTGCCTGGAATTTATGGTATCAAATTTATCAATTTTGCTTTTATTGAATCAAATTTATTTTTATAACTCAAAAATGCATTGAAAAAACACACCTTCTTCCACCACCTTCTGTGAGAGGTGTCACCACAGATCTGAACTGTAACTTGGTCTGGTCAGGGAACATCATCTTGGTCCTTGGAGCAAGATAAGTTTAATACCATATTGTGGAACATCTCCATGGAGATAAGAAGGGGCATTTACCATAAAAGTTACATCTGCATCTGTAAGAAGAATTAAATATTTCAGGTTCCTGATTATGGATATGAAGAAATGACAGTGGACTACATGTTAATATTTTAAATAATAGTAACAGGTCTTTGGCATATTTTAAGTCAAAAACCAAAAGAAAAGATAATTAATACAAAAATCATGGGTGTACAGAAAAGCTATAAACAACCACTTTCACATTTTTATAGTATTAACATTCTTCACATTAAGCTAACATAAAATTAATACACAGTGGATCTCTTTTTATACAGTATAAAAATAAAGTTAGATGTTAGCGTTCATATTCCCAACACATTACATTTTGGACTATTTTCTCAAATTCATGAAACATGTTTTCTACATTTGATTAAGTCTTACATCAAAACTCACATGAAGACACTTGTGTGGATCAATCTATAGACTTTCCTCCCCTGTTTTTAGTGATTACTGGTTACAGTTCATTGTGAGCCAGAAAAAACAACTTTGTAAAACAATAAAAGGTTTCGAAATAGTTGTGGCATTTTCATTTTGTGTTTTTTTCAGAACATGACATTTTTGAAGCTTCAAAGGAAATGAATGTTTTAGTCTATAATCCAAAGTTAATTTTAATCACACTATTACAACCATTTGTTTTCCACTTTTTGGGGTGACAAAATCCTTATTCCATCTCAGACGGGCTACGGTGAGAGTGCACAGTGGACACTATCAATCTAGACTCTAAACACAATAAAAACAAAGAGATGAAATAAAAATATGTGTGGAGTCACGGACTATGTTTATATGTACACCAAAATTCTGATCATTTGATTTTTAGAGTCATCAGATTCGTGAAGTCACTATGTTCCATCTGATAGTCCAATGAGGTTCATTTGGTCTTCCAATAATTTATGTTATTAGGTTTGTTTTTTTTCAGACTGAAGAGTTTGTTTTCATACCTGACAGTTTCGACTGCTCACTAGCGGTGTTCCTCAGAGTGGTCACATGATGTTACGGTGTTGGTGTGACACACCAGTGAAACTGTACAGAAAACTCAGACAACTACTTGTCCACCGAAAAAACAAAATAGAACCAGAGCCTAAATGTAATGTAAATATGAAATACCCTGCATGTGCTGCAATAAAACATACATCGGGGAAACAGGGAGGGTTCAGTACATGAAAAAAGGAACATAGAACAGAATGCGAGAACAGCAAATGCGTGCACACAACAAAACACAAAACAGAACAGGAACAACAGATCGGTAATTTCTGACAACTGTAAAACAGAGAACCACATTATCGACTGGGACGGAGCAGACATTGTGACAGGAAAACAGACATCGTCGCTGGATTAAAAAGGCAATCAAAATACGGAAATATGCCCACAGGACTATAAACTGGGATGAGGGGGCTTTTTTACTCTCACACACCTGGGATACTGTCCTGAGGAAGTCAGACTGCAGATAGCGCAGTCGTCCTGCCTCCATCGGTAAGAAGACAGCGCTAAAATCTGTGTAAATCAGCTGACCAGACATGTCACAGCAACATCACGTGACCACTCTGAGGAAGACTGCTAGTGAGCAATTGAAACAAATTCTTGGTTTGAAAAAAGAACCTATTAACATAAGTTACATCTGATGTGTTTAATCTGAGTTCTGATTGTTCAAACTAATATAATGCATTTGGCCTTTCAAATGCAACAGCTACTCAAAAAAAAAAAAAAAACATTAACTGACATGTGTCACCAGGTGTTTTTGATAAATTGTACAGAATTTATAGCCAATGGTTGGGCACGACACGGTGTCTGCTCTGAGTTGACCTTACTGAGGTGTAAAGGTTGTGTGTAAAGCAGAGTTCAGCTGACCACCACAGTCCTTCAGCTGACCAGAGCGTGTACATTGCTGACAGGGGCTCACCTGGCTCTGCTCCGGTCCCTGGAGGAGAGTGAGGAGGTGACGAGGGCAACCAAAGTGCATCTGTGACAAGTGACCGAGTTCACCCCTCCCTTACCTCTCACATCACACGCACTCAATGGTATTTCAAATTTTGACACTTTCAGAAGGACCCATAAGGCACTTTTTGTACTTATATTTCAGGAAGAATCATGTATTTTTAACAACAAACCAAGTTAAAGGGCACTGTTTAAAACTCTGTTCCACCTTGTGATGTCTTGTGGTAATCCAGGAAGTGCTTTGTGTTTTCAAACTCCATGATTTTGTGGAATTACCCATCTCTTCTGAGCTAAATGTAAAAGGAGCTGTTAAGTGAAACTACCACTTCATGAGATCACAAGGTGGAACAGAGCGCTTTGAGCTCTGGAGATGTGGATAAACTAATAAACCAAGATTACTCATCAAGATTGCATGAAACAAATCACAACTCCAGGTATATTTTTTGATGAGGAAACAACATTATAACATGGCTTAAAGCTCACAAGAAGTCATTATATAATTGTAACGACAATCTCTCAATTTCAAGGTTTGGTTTTGACAATTTGGTTACTCTATTTAATCAAAAATATACTTTTGCTTATACTAACAAATCTATACAAAGTTATAATAATCTCTGGTCAAAATAGATTGATATAGTAGCTAAAATACTAAACATTAACCACTTCTTTTACTTTTAATAATTAATTTGACCTCCACCTCCTTAACCTCTCAGTAGTGTCCAGGCTCCAGGTTTTCTTGCAGGTGCATGGCTACATCTGTCCAGGCCGAGGTGGTCCGTCCCTGGGGGCATGCTCTGTGCGGGACTCCCTCTATGTCTTTGGTCTGGAAGTCACCCAGCTTTTGGATCCTGTGAGGGAAATCTCGGGGAAAAAACACCCTCTGAATGGTGTCTACAGGCAGGCTTGGGGCTTCGTGTGGCCTTCGGTCCCACTTAGATTTATAGTGTGGTTTAGTTGAGCTTGCATCTCTCCATACATTAACCTTGCCTCTTAGAGCTGGTTCTACCATTGGGCTATCTGGTTCTGGGCCAGTATATATCGCCCATGGCTTTAACTTTGGTAATTTAAAAGCATGGTTTATTTCTTCTTCTTGGCCCACAGATGAAGAGGGAGAGGTGCTTTTATCCTCTTGGGCTCCTTCTTCAGATTGTAGGCTAGATTCACGCTCAGTTTTCTTTTCTTTACGACTATGCTCTTTGTTATTATCCGATATAAGGCATTTTTTATGAAACTGACTGACCAAGACTTTAGGGCAAAACTCTTTCCTAAGTGTTAACCCTTTCTTGTTGGCCCACTCAGTAACAGTTTTATCAATCTTTGGCTAAAATTACACAAAAAATAAATCAATTAAAGGCAGTTCATTACTACTAAACACAATTCATGGGCAAAAAGTTATCTTACCTTTTTGCTGATCTTGTCACGTTTATCACAGTCCATCAGATCACAGTATATCGTTTGAGTTTGCACCCTCGCCTCCAGTTCCTTATTGTTTTGTTCATGCCACATGCAGTCCTTGAGATACCTGCAATGTTATTCCATTAATTTCTGTTCGGGAAATGAGCGCTGGCCTATTAAAGAGACGCTGGCTACATTTACATGCACACCAACATTCTCATTATTATCAGATTTCTGCAGCTGCTAGATTTGTTATGGTCTCTGTGTCTGTTATTTTTAGATTTAGGTTACTGGGGGACCACATTAAGAAAGAAACTGAATTGCTCAGAACAGATGATTCTACCGTACATGACATTTTAATAATCAGACAAGTCCAGAAATCAGATAATAATCAGATTTTAGTGTGAATGTAAACATAACCACTGGAGACAATGGATGTCTAACATAAAGTTAATCTGCCATCAGTACAGGATCTGGACAAGAACACAGTGATATATATTTTAATTTCCATGCCTCAAGTCCAGCATTTATAGTTTCCGCAAAGAAATGTATTGCTTAAAATCAGAAGTTTTATTGCCATTGTCAGTGAACAAAATTCCCAAATTCGTAATATTCCTTGGCTTATGGTGCAACAGTATATAAAGAATGAATAATAATTGCCCCAAAATACGCGTATGTTCAGTCCAGGAGTCCAGCATTACACAACAGATAAACTTAATGATATTTTTGTGTGATTGGTCATATAAGCTGCTGGGATATTCTTCTTTTAGTTACCTGCCGATCTTTCTGCGGTTCCACATCCGGGCCATGTCCAGAGGGAGCAGTCCGGAGTGGTCTCGGGCGAACAGATCTGCTCCGGCTTCCACCAGCATCCGAGTGTATTCCATTTGTCCTTCAGCTACAGCCATGTGCAGGGGGGTCTGACCTGACGCTGTGGTGCTGAGAACATTATGAACAAATAAACAAAGGTATCATATCTAAATACATAACTTAATTAAATGAGTGAATGAGAAATGAAAATCAACAGTGATGCACATTAAATGCATGTCTAAATAGTTAATTCGTCTGTTATTTTTGTTATTTAATTTCACTCAACATGTCATAATTTTTATTGTGTGCCCTTTGTAATTCAATTAAACATAAAAATAGAGTAGCTTTTTTGATCTTTTAAGTTCAGAATCCAAGCAGATCTAATCATAATCCGATTCTGAATTTAGGGAGCGTTCCTACTTATCCTTGTTTGGTTCTGACTTGAGTTCAGTTTTGTCCTGATATAGACTTACTTTGGTCCTGTTCTAATCCTGATCTAGTCCAAGCTTGGTTTGAGGATTTGTTTCTGTTTAGTCCCAGCTTTGATGCAGTGTTTGTGGAAGTGTGGAAGTGCATGTGGTCCAAAACATCAACAGGGGATGTAGCTGAAAAGTAAAAATGTTAGGAGCTGTGCTGACCTTTCTATATTTCTACATTACAAATTTTCTGATGCAAGTTGACCATTTTTGGTTGTCTTTTACTATGGTTTATAATGTTTCACAAAAAACATTCAAATATATCTTTGTGATATGTAAGCCACCAATAGGTTGTTTTTATTATTAGAATATAGAAACTTACAGATTGACATCAGCCCCTTGTTGCAGGAGGTAGCGGAAACAGGCCTGAGTTTGTGGTGTGCAGCGAATGCAGAGAAACATGTGAAGAGGTCTGCGTCCCTGGGAGTCATCGCTGCTGTTGATCCACCACTCCCCTGATTCCAACATGTGCTGGAGGCTGCCCAGCTGACCCCGCAGACAAGCCACATGCAGTGGGGACAGGCCCTGGAGGAGACAGAGGCCATTACAGGGTAATTCAAAGACAAAACATGAAAACACAAATACATTGCGTCTGTAGAAGCAAGAGTGGCTATAGCTTAGGGTGACCAGAATTTCAAAAAAAAAACTGGGATGGGTTTGGGGTTATTGGTAATAATAAAAATGTGAAAACGACTGAGTAATTAAGGAAGATTTTTATGCACTTGGTGAGTCAATATAGTAAAATTTTCTTTGTGTTTTGGTCATTTTTAAGCAGCTTTTCTGTATTTTACCTAAACAAATGACAATTTATGCCTCTCTTTACTGTTGGCAGGGATCAAATTGGTCAAAAATAGGCACACCTGGGACATTTCTTGTGAAAAACTGGGACAAATCAATGGTTTTGGATAAATCCGCTGGGACAGCGGTCACAGGGCTCAAAACTGCGACTGTCCCGGGTAAATAGGGATGACTGGTCAGCCTACTATAGCTACAATACTATTCAAATGAAACAGTTCTCCACCACAGAAAATACTTGGACTTTTGCCTGAAAGCAGTAATAATAAATAAAATGTAATAAATAAAATGTATTAATTTTATAAATAAATAGAAGATACCTACCTGCACGTCGACCTTCAGGGTGCGCACTATCCTCTCCAAAAAATCCTCAGCGCTCTCCGAGTCCCTCCGCACATCGTCAGCAGGGGGCGCTCTCGCAGACTTGGGGGCAGTGTGGCAAAGACTTCAAAATATCAAATCGAAATCATACACCGATGATGACCAGATGTCCTTTAAACTTAAGCCAAAAGAAACTATATATGTCCATCTGTGCGAGCTGTTCTTCATCAGGTAGGCTATGAGGCTATTCTGTGTGAATCTTTGTAATGTTAAAAGTTTCAGACACGTGTTATCTTTGCTAACAGCTGCTAAAACTTTAACGATTAGCTTTCCCATCAGCGTAGCACGTGTTCGCTTGTTTCGCTAGCACTTGTACATTGTTTGATGAAGTTTATTTGTTAATTTAATCACCTTTTGCTCTTGCCTCGTCCCTGTTTCCCAGATTTGTTGTCTGGTGCCTTCGTTGCCATGGAAATGACGGTGAGGGTGGAGAATAAACTTCCTACAATAAAAAAAAACAAAAAACTTTATATTTAGTTTTTTATTTAGTTTTAGTTTTTATTTAGTTTAGTTTTTTAGTTTGTTTGTTTGTTTAGTTTAGTTCTTAAACTTGTTTTTAAACGTATTACTTTATTTGTTTATTTATTTATTTTATTTAGTAGATTTGATTATAGTTCTATGAGTACATTTTGACATGCACTGCTTATAATTAGGGCGATATGTAGGATGAACAGATTATCAAAAGTCAAAACTGGGACACACCCGGGTTGTGATGGTTGGTATAAATAAAACTGTGAAAAGAGTGTCTAACATTGTGCATTCTGGTGTCTTAATCTGAGGGACTTTTTGCTTTATAGTCATTAGCAAACACTGTTTTCTGTATTTTGGCTAAACAAATAACAATTTATGCTCCTCTTTACTGTTGGCAGGCATCAGATTAGTCAATTGTGATAGTCCTGTTTTAGTCCTGGTTTAGACCTGATGTAGTCCTGGTTTAGATCAAATTGGTCAAAAATAGGGAGACCTGAGACATTTCTTGTCTAAAAGGGCTCAAAACTGGGACTGTCCCAGGTAAATAGGGGCATCTGGTCACCCTGGCGATATGACAACAAAATATTCAACTTTTTTTCCCATTCATATTTATCATAGCCATCACAATTTTTTATTCGATTTTAGTTTTTAAAGCCATCTTAAAATGGCTGTTATTATTCATTTTCCAGTACATAAACTTTTAATCTGAAAAAATAAGAATTCTGCTCTAAACCACATAATTTTACTGGCAATTAAAAAGCCTCAGGAAATGAATCTTGATTAAAACTCATTCACACTCATACTCAGATTCTAGTCAGATGTATAGTTTTAAGCATATAATAATATGATGCTATGCCCTCTCCCTGTTTAAGTGCCCTACCTCCCCCTGTGTTTGTATTGAGCACACATCAGTATAGGCTGCACACATTTGGTCTGACTAAAGCAGATCAATCCTGCAGTGGAGGCATGTCCATTCCAGTGCGTCCGGCAGAGTCTATCACGTGCTGCAGACCAAAGTGAATCGGCACGTTTATATTCTCCATGTCTCTGTGGGACTGTGCTGTCGATTAAGTTATCGAGTGCTGGGACAGTGTGATCACAGTTATTGACCATTTGACCTCTCCACGAACTAAAGAGAACTGCACAGCAAAGGGCACGCACTCTGAAAAGTAGTGCAACTTTTCACACATACGTATGCCTAGAAGTTGTTGGCTAAGTGTATTCTATAACTGTCCACTAGGGCTGAGCTTTTTTATTTGAGCTCAATATTTATCGCATATTTTGCACTATTGGAGAAGTTTGTCTTATTTTATTTATTTTATTAATATCTGAGCTGTACATACTATCTACTGAAGTGTTTCATACTGCTATCATTTATTGCAGACCCTACTTTTTGCCATTATTATACATTTAGAAATTGTTTTTCTAAGAGTATTTAGCTTTAGGGGTTTTGTGACATAAAGTTGTTCCAATATTAAAGGCAATAGTCTTTAATCCATGCTAAGAGACTGATGGAGGTAATATCTAGTATATGTAGCACTGTGATAATATTATCACTAATGATGTATGTAGCAAACTGCAATATTTATATTTTTGATGTAAATTTAACAGATTCATATTTATTCAGGGTTCTTTGTTGTGATTTTGTTCTAGAGCTGTCTTTCTGCACTGAGGTTCAAGGATAGTCCATGGACCTCTGGCTTCCTGCTCCCAGAGGCCATCACCACAAAAACGCCCTCTGCACTTCAGCTCTCGTGGCTCTAAGTGAGTTCATGTTCCCTCTGTGTATATAATATATATGTGTAAGTGTGCATGTTTATCCTTGGGCACTAGCCTATGTAGAATGGTACATAAGGTAATGGTGAGGGAGCACAGTGCATCAGTGCACTTGAAAATTAAGAGAAAAAATATGTTTTGCAGGACCACCAACCCGCTGCATAATTTTTGCTCATGTTCACATCCTTGAGCAAAAATCAAAATTCAGACGCATTCGATTTTTGCCATTTTTGTGATCATTGGTGCAATAATCACAATTCATCAATTATTCCATTTAATTGCACCGTCCTGAACATGAATTCAGACTCATTTGTTTGGCCGCAAGTGAAATTTAAGTAATGTTTGTAGTGTTTCCATAAAACACATGAACCCACCAGTGTGTAAGTGTATGGAGTTCACAAAGAGCACCGCCTGGCCGCTTTGTAGCCCCAGCGTCTTTCTCCGTCCTCGGTCACATGTCGGGGAGAAGGTGGGGGTGGGTTGGAGGTCGTGTGGAGTTAAGAGTGTAGAGCCATTTCATGTTTGACTTTCAGCACTGGTCCCTGGACAGCGACCTGTACATGACTTTCACTCTAAGGAAGCGAATGTATGTTGGATTTCCTACTGTACTGTGTATGTGCTGTCATATCCCATCTGCTAAAGAGGCTCCCCTGATACGAACTGGAAATGTTTTGAGCAATTGCTATATGATTTAAAGACCTATTGATTTTAACATATTGATTTTAAAATGAAAGTGTTACTTAAGAAAATCTAGAACAAGATTTTTTTATGTATAATTCCTCTTAGTAATAGTAATAATTGTTTTTTTTATTGTCTTTACAGTCAGAGAGTTACACAAACACAATCTTAATGAGAGTTTTATTGTTGGACACAACAACACTTGTTGCAGGGATTGAACCAACAACCTTTTGGCTTGTTGCTTTGTATTTCTGTGCTGACTGAACTGCTTCCACTTCCTATCATAAATATAGCACCGTAATTTGTCCACAAGTTGAGTTGTATTAGAGTATTAAATCTGGTAACCTGGTAGATCTCTACAAGCATGTTCTGAAATGCATGATATTTTTGTTTTAGTTTAGCAGTTCATATTTATTTCAGACTTCTCCTTAATGCCAAATGTTTAAAATGTGCCCTTTTAACAGAATCTTTATTTCAAAGCTCAAACATAAATCTAACCACAAGCGCAATACTAGTCAGAAACATCACAATTAGATATTTTCCCAAATCTTTCAGCCTTATAAATTCCCTGTCTGTTCGGGTATATTTCAGTGTTTGCATGCACACATTAGATAGGGCACATCCAGTTGGTACAGAGCAGATTAACAGCAGAGCGATAGTAACTGTGTAACCTGCTTAGGGCGAGGATGAGCATGAGATCATGTCCCAGCTGCCCCTCAGCAAGCGCTCCCATTGGTCAGATCTTTCATCCAATCACAGCCCATCTGTTTGTGTTGTGGCTGGTGGCTCTGGACCAAAGGGTTATCAGCTCTTACTGTACATCAGGGGATTGGGAGAAGTATTTAAACAGCTACTATTGGGCACGTACTGTGGAGAATTTTTGGGATTTTGGAAATAGTATTGGCCTAACATTGCATACAATTAGAAGAAAGTTGTTAATGGGATGAAAAGTGTTTGAATGCACTCTGTAACATATAGATATATGACACAAATATCAATTTTGAATATTGTCTAAATATCATTACCATGTTAATCCAAAAAGATCAAGATCAAAATATTATGTTTTGTCTATGGTGTTGAAGCTGTTTTAGTTCCCTACTTCAGATCCATCTGCTTCTAACTTCAGAAATTTATCAATTTCCAACCTAAAAGATGATATTACACTATTTTCTGATCAATGTTATAATGTTGTTTCCTCAGCAAAAACATACCTGGATTTGTATTTCTTTTCATTCACACATTTAACTCACAAATCCTGCATATTTAGGCTGCCAATCTCTACATGGTTAAAAGGTATAAGGTAGCTATTAACTTGGAAACTAACTATCTTCATGACCTCACAAGGTGGAAAGAGCATTTTGAGCTTTGGAAACATAGACAGACAAACAAAACACAACTCCAAGTATATTTTTGAGGAGGTAACAACATTATAAAATGGCATAAAGCTCACCAGATTCAGTTTTATGTGATAAAGGACCTTTAAAGTGACACAGTTGGATTCGATTTATGAGAAGTGGTGGAGGAGAGTGAGTAGATTCGTAGCGACCACACAGCCCTGATCTGCTGTATATTTGATGAGGCACCTCAGAAGGACCCCGAGCTCCTTTTGTAAGCGCGCTGATGTACCTCTTTTCTCCGTTCCCTCGTTCACTCCACCCTCCTCTCCTCTGTCTTCTCATCTCCTCTCCATATTCTCCCTCCACGCCATCTGTCCAACTCTCTCTCCTCCTCCCTCTCACTTCTCTCCTCATCCCTTCTTTTCCTTGTCACTCCCCTGTCTTCTCTCCTCATTGCTATCCTCCTTCACTCCCCTCCTCTGTCCTCCTCCCTCTCCTCTCTTTTTCTCTTCTTTCTCACTCTTTCCCCTTCTAATCCATTTTCTCCATCCCCAGCGTGGTCTCTCTCCTTTCTCTGCCGCTGTCTCTATTCCCTGTTCCTCTTCTTTCTTTTTGCTTTCCTCTCTCTGCTCTCTTTTTCTCTCCTTCTACTCCTCTCTCTTTTACTCTCCCCTTCCTCTACTCTCATATTTCTCTCCCTCCTCTCTCTTTTATCTCTTCTCTCTCCTCTTTTCCTCCATCGCTCCTCTCTTTCTCCTCCCTCTCCTCCTATCTTCTCATATCTCCTCCTCTCTCCTCCTCTCCTTCTCTCCTTCTCTCCTCCTCTCTCCTCATCCTTTCTCTCTCCTCCTCTCTGCCTCGTGTTCACCCAGGCGGCAGCGCGCTAATGCACCATGTCACGTTCTGCAGCTCACAGTCACAGTGCACCAGGCTTTAGGCAGTGACCGCAGCTCGACCTCCCTGTGCAGCTCTGCTCCGCTCTGCTCTGGAGGTACGGCCTGCCCCCTGTTCCCTGTCCCTATCTGCTCTGCCCTGGCCCTGGTCTGGGACAGTGACCTGGGACATTAGCCTGAACTGGGGTGGGTCACCATACTGCTCCACACAAGTTTAGGACAAAACTTAAAAGACTGCCCTGATGGCATTTTTATCATCTGTTATTGAGCGATCAGAAGATATAGTATGTACACAATAGGAATGTGCAAAAATATGTCTTAAAAATATTACTTTAGGCCACTTGACTTTACTACACCCTTTCAAAGTAATATACCAATTAAAGGATTACAACATGTTGATAATAACAGTTTATTACATATTAAAGGTGGACACTTTAAAAGCAGATTAGGAAAAAAAAAAACTATATCTGCAATAATAAAATATTTTTCTTGACTCATTATATCTCAACACATGGGTCAAGATATCACTACAGTTCAGTATGTTTTAGGCCTCTGAAAAAAGGTTGCTCTGCCAAATCTTGCCGTGCATATTCACTTGTGTCTTGTATTGTGAGGGTCATATTAAACGAGCCGATGATATTGAAGATGGTTGCGTCCCTACATGCAGCCCTCATGTATGTCGCATGTTGACATTCTGGTTTGTTCCATTAGCGTGAGAACAGAAAGAAAACTGAAACTAGCTCTTGGCTGCCCTGTCCAGTTTGTTTACTTGCAGTGATTGTGGTTGACTCTTATATAAAACCTGAGGCAGTTTCTGTCCATCTGCTGGTTGTCACTGTGTCCTCGTCATAGGCCGTTGTCTTCATAATGACATCAGCTCATTTCAGTCTTCATTTGTTCACTGTGCTACAGCAAAATGTTATTACAAATGCACCATCATCTTATATACAGTGTATGAATCAGATGTGAGGATGACTAGAGAGTACATGGTCCAGTGTGGATTTATTCAGTCAGTATACCCCTGTGTTGTCACTGCAAGGCCCGCTGCAATTTAAATTTGCCATAAATTTCATTTTAAATTCTGTATTTTCTTGAATATAATAATTTCTTGTTCTTTATATGACGATTGTGCAAACATATAGCCAGCCTCTTGTCTAGGCCATTGTTGTAAATGAGAAATTGTTCTCAATCTACCTACAAAAGCTAAAACAAAAAAAAAATTTATACACATAAAAATGCGCCATTGCTCTTCCATGCCCTTAGAAATAGAATAAATGTGTGGAAAAAAACACTGGCCAGTTTCAGGAACCTTTACAAATATAAATATATGTTATAAGTTGCACTTCCTGTTCAGTTCATAAGCCAAAGCAGCACTGAAATGTGTATCTTCTCCTTTGCCGACCTTGTGCATGAGACAGTGGGTGTGACATTTTCCTGCTTCACCTTTTGAACTTCGGTGACCTCTGCTTTCAGTGTTTCAGCCTCTGAGTAAACTCACACTGTGGATGGTGTGTAAAGCTGCTAAGATGCACCACTCAGCACCACATTAACACACTCACATTTAAATGTACTTTGTTTAACCCCATTTTGTTCCAAGAGACTGTTCTCCAATGCAGAAGCAGAGACTGTGGCACGACACCTGAATGTGATGCAACTGCAGTCACACACCATACACCTTAACCGTACTGGTGTGTTCATGGGTCTCAGCTTCCCATATGTGACATTTAGGAGATTTTTTCTCCATTCAAAAGATATAATATTCTGTTTCAAATGCAGGTTCAGGTGACTTTGTTTCTGTAGGATAAATGCTGTCCTGTGCTAAACAGATCAGCCATAACATTACGACTACTTACTGATGACTTACTCTTTCTTCATGATTGTACCATTTTGTCATTTATGGGTTTGAAATATTAATAAACCGCTAACTAGTCCATATTTAATTCCCCATAGAGTATATTGTAAAAAATAAAATCAGACCTCTGCGTTCTGTCTGCATATAAAAAGTATTTTACCCACTACAAACCCTGAAAAAACATTAGGCATTAGAATTGCTAATATACTGTAGACCAGTGTTTCCCAAAGTCATAAATCTTCCTGACCCAAGTCAATAAACGTTATTTGTAAATCGTAAAATTAATTTGTGACCACCAACATTAATGAGGATATTTTATTGTTGATTGAGTGATCGTGTCTCTCTGAACAATTAGAATTACTCAGATTTTAAACAATGAAAAACAGTAATCAGTGTTTCCCACAGAAAATTGGTTAGGCAAGGTAGTGCTGCCGAAAAACTGTGGAGTGGGGAGGGGTGCGCAGAAATGTATGTATATGTATATTGCAGACCTACATGCAGATGGTGACAAGGTGACCCCAAAAAAATCTCTTGTGACCCACCAGAGGGTCGCGACCCAGTCTTTGGGAAACAGTGCTGTAGACAGTTTTTGGTGGTCCACCCCTGTTTCACCATCTTCACCATCTGGAAAAAAGTACCATAATATAGTGCTTTCCTTTTAATGCAGCTCTAAACTCAATCGGTCTATTTATCCACGAGCTATCCTCCTATTAGTCAGCTTCCGTTATGCTCTTAATGACACTTGGATGTAGCCAATCCCAATGAAGTGCAAACTTTCAAAAGAAGCAGTTATCTTCAATTACCCTTAAAGCAGTAACAGAAATAACTTTCATTAATAACCAGTTGAACAATCTACACCAGCACTATCATACGCGTATCCAACGGGCATTATTACTTAAATTAGGTTGGAGTTCTTATTTTTCAGCAGTGGAAAGACACATGATGTTAAAATAAACATCTGATGCCCTTCCAAAATAAGTGATCTAAAAATACTACAGCACATAAACAACCAGCCTCACATCCAGTACCTTGACGAATGACTCATTGATGGACTACGAAAAGTTTATAGTCGTGGGGGATAAAAATAATACACTTAATTAGATGCAGACAGCATGCAGTGGACTTATTTTGACCTCAAGAGCTACTTACAATATATCAGTACTGAGGCAAGACAGGCTTTGCTCAAATATATACGCTAAATTAATACCACAAAATTATGTTTTGAGTGATCACTGTACACAGCAATCTTTCTTGTGAACTTACAGTGACACCATGACCTTAGTAAGATGGCTGTTTCTTGCTGTGCCTCTATCCAGGTCAGAGAGCATCAAGTTGTCCTGGTTCAACAACAGGGCAAACACAAAACCCATTGTTCGCTTGACATGCATCTTCAGAAAATGTACTGATGGTAGACATAACATGGCGTGAATATGCAAATGGTTTTGGGACAGTGACACTACAACTACTTTCAACCACTTAAGAGAAAGATGGTTAACATGGTTGAAAAGAAATATTGAAAAACACATAAAATTGGCCATTGAATTTTGTCTTCAAAAGCAGGTCGGTCAACAGCTTGGAGTAAAGTTCTAAAGTAAATACAGTTTGTAATAGGGAACCGAAATATTGTGATATCATACTGTCAAAGTTCTCACAATGATATCGTGGACCATCACAATATATCGAATTACAAGTCCATTTCAGATCCATTTCAGTGTAGCCTACAAGAAGAAATAACAGTTCTAAGCCTTTTAACTCTTAGTTCTTTGGATTAAGTCTTGTCAAGGCATTTTAAGGAAAAAGTAGCATATTAACAATTTTGTTTGCCTCTACCAAATATCACATCATGCTGAGAGCTTTAGATATTGTTACAGCCCTAATCGTGAGCCTCCCCACTATATCGCGAGCTTTCCCACGATATCGCAATAAATATCGTGCCGTGAGGTTCACACTGTGACGTTATCGTATTGTGAGACTTGGATATTGTTACACCCCTAGTTTGTAGTAATTGTCTGTAATTAAATAATTAATATAGAACAAATCATTATTTAAAGGTCCTTCAGTATGTCTAACTCCTCAAACCCTTTGGCTCATTGCATTCGCATACATTCATTCTTTGAACACAAGCACAGTTGTAGAACAGCTTTTTCAAATGGCAAAGTGATGCAGAGTGGATCACCAGTGTTCAGGCACTCAGCTCTCCATATCCAGAATCGATGTACGCAAGGATGCATGCAGCTCTGTCTTAAATCTTTGCGACTGATAAAATTATTTACAATTAAGATAAAGACACAGTGGTCTGTTCTTTTACAATGCATTTTATTAAATAAAATAAAAAGGTACTTACTTAAGAAAAGTTGTGAATTGGAGTTTTAATATTAGGAAATAAAGTAGTTTTTCGACCAAGTACTGTACTTGATGAAAATATATTTATATTGTTTTCAGCCAACAATACAATTTTATTTATTCCTTTTATGTCTTTTCTTTGTTATCCTTTTGTCTACCTCTCTGCATCATATAGCATCTCCTTCTGTCTCCTGTGCTGAGACAAAAAGCAGCCTCAGTAGCTAATTACCACCTTAAATAATGCAACACTTGTACCAGCTACATGCAGAGGAGACAAAATCCATTTGGACTGACAATCTTAAGGGGATGTGGCCTTATAGTCCTGTGTACGACATGTTGATCCCTGTATTATTGATGCGTGCTTTGCTATGCAATGTGTTTTCTCAGCTGAATAAAACTGGAATAGACCTAAACTTAGCCCCAATGCTGTTTAGTTATTTCCATTTAAAATTTTTGCTTTAAAAACGAGAAAGCAAAATTTTAAGTGTCTATTTGCTAATGCATTCTTAACATGTATAACATTATAAATCTTGGAAAACAGGCTATGTAGTTGGGAACATTTTAAAAAGTGCAGAGTGGAGTTTGTGTTTGAGAGGTTAGCAGGGGTTGACTCTGTAAGAACATGTAGCGATCACTGCTTATTAAAGTTATAAACCTATTACAAGTTCAAGCTGTTCTTTATGTCAGTCAAAATTAAGTCCAGTGACGTTACACCAGAAAACTAACCTCAAATGTCATTACAGATAAGTGTTAGTGTCACCTTTGTGCACATTTTGGAAAATTTGGCAAGGGCTTGTGGTAGTGGTTGTCAGCTAATTAAATATTTAGTCCTCAAAGAATTGCAAATATATCAAATACTGGATCATGAAAGTTGCACAAATATAATACAAAATTTGCTTTTTTAAATAATGTTTACTTCCCTACTCTCATTATTATTACACTCCTACTTGGACCAAGTTCTGTCATTGTGTCCTTAGGCAAGATACTTCTCCCACTTTTGGCTAGAATGAATCTGGTGTGTGAGTGTTGGTGGTGGTCAGAGGGGACAATGGTGCGGACTGGTAACCTGGCTTCTGTTAGTCTACTCCAGGGCAGCTGTGGCTACATAAGTATCTTAGAATGAAGTGAATAAATAATTACTACAGTGTGCCGCTTTGAGAGAACTGTAAGAAATGCATATTATATAAAGCTTCCTTCTGGCCATGAGTTGAGATAACATAACAACATAACATTGTGATCTATAGGATCTGGAAAATTATTATATAATTTGGGTATTTTTTTGCCCGTCCCTATTTGTGTACTTACTATTTTGTGGTTAGTATTTCCAACTTACCACACCAATATTAACAGAGAACCTCTTCACCCCCGTAACCCCTCCTCTGTGCAATGTATTAGCTGCAGTTACAAGAGCTAGCACCGTGCTCTGTCCCTCCATAGGTGTATTTTACAATTTAATGTGTTGGTGATGCTCATGTCCCCTGGCATCACCCACAGCACGAACAGCACACCCCCTGAACCTCCCCTCCTCCGTCCCCTACTCCAGGGGTGGGCTAAGATGGACTGAGGGGCAGCAGGAGGCGGCTGAACTGTGCTGTGGTACAGGAGAGACAGTGATGTTATGTGGCATGTTTGGATTTGCTCTGTGTTTGATCACATGGCTGTGTGAGCGTACACAAGTAGTGTGCGGTCAGGGCAATCGAGGCAAGCCGCTGCCCAATAAAATCTAAAATCATCGCGTGTCAAAAGTGTCATTAAATAGTTTCAAATTATATCCAAATAATCCTGTTTTCCCTTCATTTCTGTCCATGCGCTCTTACAACCGGAGAGGCCAGCCAGTTGTTTTAGAGGTTTGCACATGCGTACTGAAGACCACAGCCAGCTCAAACAGCGCTGAATAAATGATAATAAATCCATATCATCATCCATGGGAATTGGAGATGTGCAGCAATTCCTAGTAAGTGCAAATGCAGAGCAGGAGATGACAGAAGCAGCTCTAACATTTAAAACAAGTGTCTAAAAATAACTTGCTTTTAGCGCCAAGTCACTCTTTGTAGTTTCACGTTTGTAATGATCGCATGTTACTTAGAAAAACAGGCCATCATTTAATCAAACAGTGATCTAGTTTCAAGACTAGTTTCTGTGAAATGGAGGATCTAGACAGAGCAGTGGAGTGAGAGCGGCTGGAGAGGAGCCTGTCTCGTCTGTGTGTTTATGAAGGAGCGACAGTGTCATTGGAATAACAGCACTATAACACGTGTGGAGGAACATGTGTCTTTTCTGGACCTACTCCGCTTCAGGGAAATACACAACGTTTCTTCAGGAAAGATGTGGTTTTGCATCTGTAAGAGCTGAGTAATAACGCACTGTTCTAACATAGGGCTGTGTTTAAGGGGATGTTTGTGAGATATCGGGCTGTATTATAAATGCACCTGTCTGACCAGTGCACTGTAGTTGTTAGTATTTCTTCATGATCTTCATAAATGCACATTCTGTTTAGTAAGTGCGTTACACATCTGTAGAGCTGTAATATGTTATTAGTTTGTTTAAAAAGACAAATCTGCACTGAAGACAATTTGAGAATGACACATTAGCACTCAGAGAATGGGGCAGTGCCAGAAAATGTTTGTATCAAATTTCATCATTGTCTGATACCTTTATCGATGGATCACTATGAATATCGACCGATACTGGGACCTGTATATTTTTGCCTGACCAGGACTTGTGTCATTTTTACTTTTTATTTTTTTATGTAGTCTCCTCACCTGCAACACTTTATGGTTTACACTATTTTAATACATTCCAAATGATTCCCAAACTCACTGTGGATTGAAACTCATACAAGGAGAGCCTGAGCTCATGCCATGTGCCCACAGTACAGTGCAAAAGACAGAAACGCTGACCTGCTCACACTGCTGTGCTGAGCTGACTTGCCAGGTCTGCAGTTTCTCTGTGGAATTGGATGACTTTTTAAGAGCAGCCAGTGGTGAAAAATATTGTCCTTGAGTTAAGTCAGCTGAAAGTGGTGAAAAATATTGTCCTTGAGTTAAGTCAAAGCTATTTTCCATATAAAGAAAAAAAAATGTATTAATTCAATTTTTTTCCTAGTGAATAGGTAGACAACCCTGGTGCTTTAAACATGAAGCGAAGGAATTGCTTATTATTACTGAACATAAGGAACAAGCATATATCAATGTCTCATACTGAAAAATGAAGCCATTTTTATTTTTTATTTTTTATTATTTGACTTTCATTGTGACATTTGGTAGAAAACATCACAGTCCCAGATCTTCTGGACTTTTTTCCTTCTCCAATTGGTGAAGTTGTTTTTCATCTCTCCCGGCATTTGCACATCTATGTTTGGCTTTGGGCACAACTTTTGTCTTCTTTGGTGGTTTGTGTCCTTATTATGCAAGGATGACCCACCATCTTGGCTCTAACTGAAGGCTTCTCAGGTTTTGTTTCTTTGCCTGCAGCAAGTGTGTGACATGTGATATCAGTTTCTTCTAGTTTTTCAGAGATCTTATTTTTCCTGTTTTGTCCTTCTGCTTTTTGTTACTTTTTTTTCCACCAGCCTTGGTTGAGTCGGTCAGGTTAGTTGGAATCATCTTTGACAACATCTGTGGGCTCTGGTGATGTTAGGTTCCTCTTTGATTACAGTGAAAGGCTCTTGGACTCTTGAGCATGTGCGTTCTCAATTAGAGCCCAATCATTTGAAGGATCTATGATTTTAGTGACCATCTTCAGCCACCTTTTAGATGGCTTCTTTTTTCTCTTTTGCCTTTTCCTTTTAACTTTTGTTTTAGGCAGGAATGGTGCACCAACTGGAGAGACCACCAAATTGTGGTCTATTATAAAGAATGGTTCATACTTTCTACACTATTACTATATTATACTATTATACTATAGTGTGCACAGGTAGGTTTTCAACAAAGTTTTGAACAATAGTTGTACAAAAATGATCATGTCGTTGAGGAGGGCCACAGACTGGTGGATAGTGCAATGAATCCTTGACCAAACCACTTCAATG